TTCTGAGCTAGACAGCCGTGCTGGACTAGCGAGTGTGCAGAGCAGGGATCAAGGAAGAGTTATAACTACGTGCCCTGGCAGCTGGGACTCAGCAAGGACAGAGGGCAGGCTGGCCAGAGCCCCAGCGTGAGCTCGGAGGCAGCCCGCAGAGATGAGAGGACTATCTTGGGGCCATGTCCTCCTTTCAGTCCTAACGAGCAGTGCCAGAAGGCAGTAGTGAATGCAGGCCTAGAAAGCTGGGTTTTAATCACAGCTCTGCTCCTAACTTGCCACAGTACTTGGGACAAGTCACTCTTCCTGTCTGGTCTTGGTGCTGAGATAATCTTTAAAAATCACATTCACTCACATACTTTTGAAATTTTGCACTAGAGGGTGAAGTTGAAACCCACCTGGATTACTTGCTATTACCTCAAACCCTGCAGTACTCATCAGGAATCCCCCAGATCAGCGTTCTCTACCCACCCAGACTTGATCTTGAAACTAGCACTGACTCTGCTCTCTCCCTGGCCTCCCACGCTCATCAGCCACTGAGCCCCATCGCACCCCTTCCCAAAGACAGACCCTGAGGACCCTCCACCAGAACCAGCTGAGGTGCTTGATGAAACACAGATTCCAGGGCCCACGCCAGGCCCAGACAGGTGTTTAACAAGCACCTGCTAATTTTCTAGCTTGAGAGCTATTGCCCAGTGGACTTGACCTCTGGGCCCTATCACAGCCAGCCTTCACCTTCCATAATCCCCACACAGTCCAGATCTTAGCAACAGCATTTCCTCTGGTTCTCTGCCTTTGGTCTTCTCCCGTAATCTACCCTATACTTGACTGCCAGACTTGTCTTTTTTTTTTTTTTTTTTTTTTTAGAGACAGGGTCTATGTTGACCAGGCTGGTCTTGAACTCCATGGCTCAAGTGATCCTCCTGCCTGAGCCTCCCAAAGTGCTGGCTGGGATTACAGGTGTGAGCCACCACACCCAACCCCAGACTTGTCTTTTTAATAATGAAAATAACAACAGCTATGTTTATTGAATGCTTACCAAATATGCCAGGCACTGTGCTGGTACTTTATATGTAATTGTATGTATGTATATGAATATGTACGTGTATGAATATCAATATGTATATGAACTTTATATGTAATTTCATTTAATTCTTACAATAACTCTGTGAGGCATCAGCCATTATCCCCATTTCAATGATGAGAAAACTGAGGCTTAGAAAAGTCAAGTAAATTGCCCAAAATCACATAAATGGCAGAGTCAGGACTGAACCCAAGGGTTTTTTGACCTAAAGCCCATTCAGGCAAGGGCAACCCACCCCGTGCAGTGACGTCTTCTGTCTCGGACATCCTCAGTGGCTGCCCTGCATTTATCATACTCAGGGCTCATCACAGGCTAGCCCTGGGCTCCTTCCACCACAGGAACAAAGGTCCAGACAAACTTTACAAGGTTTTTGGAAATAGACAATAGGCATTTCTCTTCACTGCTGCTCTTACTACCCTACTTGGAATGTCTTCTCGACTCCTTCGAGGGCAGCTCAAACCGAGGTCAAGCCTTCCTGACCACTCTACGATCCAAACTTCTCCCGCCCCGAACCTCGGCACTGTAGATTGAATCGCTGGTACTTCTTACATGCCACCCACGAGTGCCTCTTTCAAAGATAATGTCCTCCTCCCAACTAGACTGCAAATTCCTACAGAAAGAGGCCATGGTGTATACATCTTCATGTTCCCAGACATAGCACAGCGCCTAGTATTCAGTAGCACTTATAATAATTATTGGGATCATATCAGATTTTATAGAAGTTTCTGTTGTTTCTTGTTCCCAAAAGGGATAGGCAGTGCCTCGCATAGCTATTTCTCAGAACCCCTCATCGCCGGCCCACACAGCACGTGGGCATTGACACTCATCTCGAGGCACCTTCCAGGGAGAGCTCCGCCTCAGCTCCCCCACCCTAACTGAGCAGCAGAAATATCTCAAGGTTCAAGACGGCATTAAGGAGACTTCTGGCAGCTGGTGCACTAACAGGAGTAAGAGCACCAGGGGTGCCATGGGGTGCAGGCCTCGCCTCTCATGCAGAGGTCCCCAAGGGCGGCTGAGGCCCCCACTGCCAAAGAAGAGTGCCAGGCTGTGTGGCGTCAGTGTGGCTGACTACGGCAATAGTCAGAAAGGACTCAGTGCACCAGGGAGCCTCCCTCGTGCTGCACTCACCTGAACACATCATTCCAATACTCCTTCACGTAGGACACCTGACGGAAAGGGATGTCTAAGATCTGGCAAACTTTGTAAGCATCTTCGCAGTCTCTGTCAGCAGCGCAAACTCCATGTTCATCCAGTGAGTCCCAGTTCTTCATAAATACCCCTGTCACTTGGTAACCTGGACAGGGAATTAAAGAGAATACCACATGTCACCCGTGGGTTAAAAAGGCAGTGATTTCTGAGCTCTGAGCAGTTCCCAAAGTGCCATACTCCTATGCCTCTGTGCCTGGCTAGCGTGGCAGGCCCTGCTCTGCCCGTGGCCTTCAGGGCTCCAGGCTGCTTGTTGGTTTAAGCCACCCAGGTGCTCCTTCCCCGAACCTCTGCTGTGCTTTGTAAAGGCTTCATCATCACAACACATTATTGCACTGAAACTGCCTGAGTCCTCAAGATGACCAGATGGCATTTTTTCATCTTTGTCTCTCCACCTATGAATCAGCACAACGCCCAGCACATAGGAGGGGATAGCTAACATGTGGTGAATGAAAGAATAGCCGAAACTCAACAAAATTTTTCAAAGCTAACAAAAGCCACCATTCACTTATTAGAGAAGGGAACCCATTTCAAGTTATTTCCAGTTATCATCTAAGACTTAGATTCTAAGTCATCAGATATACAATTAAAATTTTGAATATTTTATAGTAAGGGCTATACCACCTATATATTTTATGACTTATTTTTCCCCTTTTCTATCATGACAACGTAAGCAATCAAATATTGGAGAGACCAACTTTACCCCTACACCACTCAGCTAGCAAACTACACAGGTGCCCACCCTGTATGAGAAATCCAGCTCCTCTGGGCAGCTGCATGTAGTGAAAGAGAGCATCTGACTGTTAAAGGCGACTTAACACAGTACCCCAAAGAACAGGGATTTGATGACAAAGCTTTGCCAAGACTAAATACCCACACAGAAGACCAACCCATCCCAGCTGGTGATCAGCACCCTCCTCATGAACCACCTGACTCCGCTTCCACTACAGACCTCACCACACTGGGCTGCAATTGTTCCCATCTGTCTCCTCTGCAACTCATTGAAGCTGGGAGCTCCTCAAGGGCAGGAACTGTGTCTAACTCAACCCTGAGTCCCCAGCACCTAGCACAGTGCCCAGCACATAATGGGAGCTAAAAGGAGCTTGTAGAATGAACAAACAACCCTACACACACAGCTTTAAAAATCAACTCTTCCTATAGCCTCATCTGCCTGGTAATTTTTCTTACGAAGATGTGTGACCCCCTTACATGGGGTCAACCACCCTAGGATGAACGAACTTTCCAGGAGGAAAGTGCATGACAGAACACGTGCCTCCAGCAAGACCGGGAAAGCCCTCAATGCCACCAGAGGACCACGCCTTTTCTCTGCTGTGTCCGTCAACCTCCTCCAGGGGCAGGGAAATTCAAGGAGGGCTGGAATGTGAGTTGTACAGTCAGGAGGGAGTTTACCTGCTTGAAGTAGTAAAATGATATATCTGGTCTCCCCACAACCGGTCTTCTGCATCTCCCAAAACACCTAGTCATGACTGTCAGAAACCTTCAAGGGCTCTGAATTGTCTACCCAACACAGACTAAAGTCCCTAACATGACATCTTCCATACCCAGGGCTCAACCGTCCCCACCCTCCTCGCCTTCTGCCTGCATCTGGCCAGACCCAGCCAACACCTTCATGCCTCTGCCTCTCCTCACACCTCTAGTTCTTTGATGAGTGAAATCCCACTCTTCCTCCAAGTCTCAGCTCCAACACCTCCACCTCTACGATGCTTTCCTTGATTCTCCCTTCCTCACAATTGTGTGTGCTTACAGTTTACCTATCCTCCTCTTTGGCACTTATTATACCTCTCGTAATAGGTATGGTTATTGATAATATATAGTGGGTATATAATAACACCCACCACTATCTTCTCAGTACCTCATATGCGCTGGGCACTGGGTAAACCCTTCAATACGTACGTCATTGAAGCCTTCCAGGCACCCCGTGAAGTAGGTGTTACCCCCATTTTACAGAGGAGGAGGGCTTAATTAACTTGCCGCAGGTCAGGAACCCCGCAGGCACCTCTGCATTCCAAGTGTCTGCACCAAGGCGGCTCACAGCAGAGGCTCTACAGACGCTACTGTGTGAATGAAGCCTCCAAGGAGAAGGCGGCGCACAGACGCGGAATTTAGACGGGTAGTTCATCTCCGCTGCAGACCCTAAGAATCCTAAGCACCTGTGGGGCTCCGCTTGGATGCCAGAAAGAAATGCCAGTGCTTTGAGGGAAGTTTGTCATCCAAAGAACGGAGAACACAGGAGTGATTTAGCAAGCAGACACCCGCTCGGTATCGCTCAGTCGCATGAGTTGAAGGACAAGCACCCACCGAGCGGCCACGGTGTCTGCAGGGGTCAGGCCTCAGGGGCCGAGGATCCAGCTGCCCTCACCACCGTGTGGCCTCACAGGTCAGTGTGGACGCCGCCAGCATCACCGCGGGCGCAGGGCGCAGACCCAGTGAGAAACCCTCCCCTCCAGGCCCTGAAAGCAGGAGGCTGACGATCCACTCTGAGTTCTAACTGGGGAGGGGGTCGCATCCGCGCACTTCTGACCGCACGGGTGGAGGGCGAGAGGCCGCAGAGCAGAAGGCAGAGGACGTGGGACCCCCGGCGGGCCCACCCGCAAACTGAGGCCAGAGAGGGAGGCGACCTGCCCAGGGCCACGCAGGAGGGGAGAGGCACTCAGAGGAAGAGCCGCTCGGGGCTGGCGGGGGCCTCGCCTCACCTCTCCGCCTCAGCAGCAGCGCGGCCACGGCGCTGTCCACTCCGCCGGACAGGGCGCACACGACGTGCCGAGCCGCCAGCATCCGCCCGCCTCGCCGGCTGCGTCGTTGTTGTTTGCGTCGTCGTCGCTTTCGTAGTCGTCGCCGCGGCCGTTTCCGCGCCGCGCCGGAAGTCAAGTTCCGCCCCCACCGCGGCGTCTGCGCTCGCGGCCCGGCCGGAAGCGTGCTCCGCGCGCCTGCGTTCCGCCCGGCCTTTGCCGGCCCCGCCTCCTGGCGCAGGTGTTCCCCGGCGCCGGGAGCCTGAACACGCTGCGCGGGGTGAGCCCCACCTGGCCGTGCCTCTCAGAGCCACTGCGGCTCCTCCGACCCCCGGCGGCGCTGAGACCCTGCCGGGGCTCCGAGGGGCTGGCCTGCCGGGCTGGGCATCACTGTGTCCTCGCTGCCTGCCTGCGAGCGGCGCGGGCGGGGCTCGGGCTTCCGTCACTTGCAGAATCCCGGCACCTGGGAGAGGACAGGCCTAGAGCTTCACACTCGCGAGGGATGCAGGAAGGAGGGAGGGAGTCCTGAGGTCGTCCCCCGGGGCAAAGTTCGAGCTGAATTCTTCCACGAGACAGTTGGCGTTGTCAGACTAAATAACAGACGGGGCGACTCTCTAAAAGAAAAATTATGTTTATTCAGGAATAGGCATTGCAGTGAGAATATGGGTGCCAAAATGAACTGTGTGCGTATGCGGGAACCATGTGTCTAAAGGAAGACAGAGCTTTTTAAAGGAAAAAAGAGGATTATGTAATTGTTTGGAGATAATTATCCTTGGCTACAAGGATTAATACCAAGGGTGATGCCAGTCTGAGGCTGGACAGGCAGTTGCTGGGCAGATGTCCTTGCACAGGTTTTTGTTGTTCTGGTTTTTTTTGTTTGTTCGTTTGTTTTTTGCATAAGTTCGTGATGGCTTTTATGCAAGTGTGTGGTCCTTGCAGTCTTTTGTGATAGTTATCAGGCGTTCATACATGAAAACCCTCCCTTCATGGGCTTCCCTGGCTCTGCTTGTCAGGGTTTTTAGCAAAAGTGACTCCATTTTGATTCTTGACAACTTTCACAAAATCAACTAAAGGAGGAAGGAAAGAAAAGCAGGCAGAGGGATGTGCATTCTATAAAGGCGGGGGTGGGGGAAGTGGGGGGGTGTGGCCCTGAGAGGATAGGAAAACGCAGGGGCAGCAGGAAGCTACTGGAGGTATTAAGCCGGGGAGGGAAGTGATTGACTTTAAACCTTTAAAAAGATCTTTCTGGCTGCCCCGTGGAAAATGCATTGGAGGAAGTGCTGGGAGCCTGGTTAAGAGGCCATGACAGCACTCTGGGAGAGAGATGGGGTGACAGGAAGATACCATATATTTGGAGGTAGGGATTTGTAGCCCTTGCTGGTGAATGGACATGAGGGATGAGAAGTAGGGGCAGGGCCTTGATGTTTCTGCCTAGTGGGACATTCACTGAGGAGGAACAGTGGCCTGCCAGATCAACCCCAACACTACGTGCCAACATGCAGGACATCAAACTGGAGATGTGGCCGTTCCTAAATGAATGCATGGGTAAGGCAAGTGACAGACGGGAGGTCTTGGGATCAGAAACAGCAGGTGAAAGGCTCGTGGATGGACACTGGAAGAACCTAGAAACATTTGCTGAGCCAAATGAGTGTGGGAAAGCAGGAGGGTATAAATGAAAGCAAAAGAGGCCCAAATAGGAGACCCGGACACCGCAGAGCCAGCTGGAGGTCCAGTGGCTGGCCAGGAGAGAGGATGGGAGAGCCAGGAGAGGGCACAGAATGGAGGGCCCCGGCCAGGGATGACACAGCTCAGAGCAACAGTGATGCAGGGTGCAGAAAACTGTGAGGTTTGGGTTGACACCAGAAGCTACAGTCACTAGTGCAAATCACAGGCATTCTTTAAATCAGCGACTCTCAACTTTTTCACCTCGAACCCACAGTATCAGAACACGTGGCCATCTATGCAGACACATACAAGTATAAAAAGGGGTGCCTCTTGAAACAGTTCTTACCCTTTGTAGAATGTACCATGTACTGTCTTGTTTTTTTAAAACTGCTGGTGTTGCCGGGCGCAGTGGCGCACACCTGTAATCCTAGCACTCTGGGAGGCCAAGGCGGGTAGATCGCTCAAGGTCAGGAGTTCGAGACCAGCCTGAGCAAGAGCGAGACCCCGTCTCTACTAAAAATAGAAAGAAATTATCTGGACAACTAAAAATATATAGAGAGAGAAAATTAGCCAGGCATGGTGGCGCATGCCTATAGTCCCAGCTACTCAAGAGGCTGAGGCAGTAGGATCACTTGAGCCCAGGAGTTTGAGGTTGCTGTGAGCTAGGCTGACGCCACGGCACTCTAGCCAGGGCAACAGAGCCAGACTCTGTCTCAAAAAAAAAAAAAAAAAAAAACTGCTGGTGTAATCTATGACGTTGATTTCATGTAAGATTTAAACCACCGTTTGAAAAATTCGGGGAGGAAATGCCACTACAAATGCAGGTGGTTTTTAAATCAGGCCAATAACACACACCAAAGCTTGGCATTCAAATCATGTTAGTTTCTTAACAGTTTCCCAGAAGGTTAACAATGGATATAAATGTTTACATGTGAATAATTACTAAAGCCAATTATTTTCTTGAGAACAGGAACAGTTTTAAGGGTCTAGACTAGAGTAAAATGAGGAAGGCTCTTATGTCCCCATTTCCAAGAACAGCAGGAGCTGCCAATGGGAGAGTCCTGGCCACTGGTGCCAAGAGGAGGCACAGGGAGAGCTGCAAGCAGGAGGAAGTCACAGGGCCCCTGTGGGAAAACAAATGGATGGCCACCTTTCCAGGAGAATAAAGGATCAGGAAAATATCCAACAGGGCATCAATTCCTTCTTGCATTTCGCAGAGGAGGTAAGGAACTCAGTATCTGGACCCCTGACACTGGGCAGATTCAGGAGTCAATGTTTAGGCTGTGGCCATGCTGGCACCACTAGAGTTTTTATTCCCAGTCTAGAAGACCACATGCTTCTTGGGTATGGCCATCAGATAGCAGGTTATGGCAGGTTAAGTCCCAGTTGCAACCAACCCACAAAGTGGCTTAGACATGACCCATTTGCACATACATATTTTCTACTACTTTTCAGTGACCTATATGGTTTTTAGCTACTTTGTAGCTCCAAGAACACTCCGTGTATAATCCAGATCCACATGGGCCAGCTACAGCAAGGACAATGACTGCCGGCCAGCAGCAATGTCAGAGATGTAAAATGGAAAACATCGGCCCCACGACATGAATGAAATGTGGTAAAAATCACACGAAGCTGGGCCTCTTCAATCTGCAAGGGTGGCCCTCTGGAGGCAGCCAGTGTGCTTGGTGCCATTCTAAAGAGAAAGTGGCCAGCCCCCAGGGGCTCCAGGAGCACTTAGTCTCCAACTGACTGTGGGGCTTCTCACAGGTAGCCCTCTGAGCGGAGGACGGAGGCCTGGGCGCCAGGAGAGGAAGCGCCTGGGAGAGCTCTGTCAGACAGGCCGCTGCAGCAGGGACAGAGGATGGAGAGACTCAGAGGAAAGGAAGGAGGCTCCAGCCCAGTAGAGGACCAGCGGCTGTAGCCAACTCCTGCTCTTCAGATCACTTCTGTCCCAGCTGGGCACTGTACATCTGACCAAACCTTGGCCCCGAGCAGAGCTGGCTGTGCCTGAGGCCGGATGGGGAGGACAAGGGCTCTGGGCAAAGGCTCAGCTCACCCCCAAGGCTTGCACTGAGCACAGTTGATTATCACAGATCAGCTGGGGCTTAACATCTCTCCCTCCCAAGTGTTAAGACCCTCGAGGGAGGGATGCCTGAGCTTTGTGTCCTGCGGTACCCCTAGCACAGATACAGCCTGACCCCTAGTACAGTCTCAGTAAGTTTTTTTTGAATGAACTAATCCAATTCCAGATTCCTTTTTTTCCCCCCTGTGAAATGAGGGGCCAGACCAGAGGCTACCTGAGGACTCTGGAATTCTCTGCAGCCCACTGGAGAAGCAGGGCTGCCTGGTTCCTCCAGGCCTCTGCACCAGCCAGCCAGGGCGCCTTGCTCGGACAACTCCAGCTGCAGAACGCAAGACTTCCACGCACCTGCCTTTGGGGAAAGCTTTTGTCTACACGTGCAACAGGGCAGCTCTCAACGCCCACTTCACTTGTCCACTTCCGATGCCGCGGGAACCACAGCTCCAAATGGCAATTTCACATTTACCACATTAACCGCAGAATGTTGAAAGTACAGCCCAACTCTTTTTCCCTCACCTCTCTGGACAGAGGAAGGTCCTGGCGTGATGCAGGAACACTGGAGCCCAGCTAGTCACTCTCCCGCTGTCTGCTGTGAAGCCACGGAACTGTGAGAAATTCCCTCCTAAGGAGATACATATACAAATTGTGGTTTCCGGGCCAGCTAGTTTTAAAAGACATTAGAGGCTCCAGGCAGGGAACAGGCTTCCCACTGTCCCCGTTGGGTAGCTCCAGCCAGTAGCGTCCCTGCTGAGACAGAGGCCGAGGGTGTGTCCCAGCACAGGGGCCCCTGAGGCAGGGCCAGCAGACATGGTCCACTGCCTCAGCGTTCACATGAGCCCCTGTCTTCTCAGGGTGTGGTCTGCAGGCATCAGTGGGAGTCACTTGGGGCCTATTAACAATGTGGGCTCCTGGGCTTGCCCCGGACTAGGGCTCAGTGCATCTGGGGGCTGGGCCTGGGATCTGCATTTATACCAATTTTTATTCAGACTAATTTTTGAAAATCACTTTTATAAAAGCATTAAAGTCTGTACAGTCTTGCATAAAAATGGCTACACATCTGTACCCCCATAATATGCTGAAATTAAAAAAAATGGCTACACGTTTACAAATCAAGATAAGCTTAAAATCAGGGTGTTTTAATACACTTCCATTTATTTTACAATTTAATTTAAATCTAGGATATTTAAGTTTTCATATACACTTAACTTTAAAAATAGCCACTTACCATTTTACATACAAAAGATTCAAAACAAAGTTTTTCATTTAGAGTGACTTCAGCCTTGTGTTCCAGCCCAGTGACAGGCAGGGAGGAGGGGAGCTGTGGGCGGTGGAGACCTCGGGGATCGGCACTGAGCCCCAACACCGCGGCCCACCCCCGCTCCAGGCACAGTAAATGTATTTAGGCTTTTTTCCCTTTTCAAATAAAATTTCCACTAGAATATGTTTCTAGGGGTTGAAAACCACTTTAAGACTAACGTCCTTTTAACAGAGAGGAAAAGGCAAGGGTTTTGTTCCACTCAGAACTTGAGGAGCGGCGACTCCACGTTTTCCTTGTCAGCCTCAGGACTCAGCTGGATCAGAGGCGAGCCCAGGTCTATGAGCTGTGAGAGAGCAGAGAGGGGACGGTGAGCCCAGGCGCGGCCAGGTGGCCCTGCCCAGTCACACCTGCCCCACACTGAAGCCGGGCTACCCGGGAGCCACCGCCACCTGGGGCTTGGTACCACAGAAACAACTCAGTAAACCTGGCACAGGTGCATTTAAAAGAAACCTCTAAGGGCTGGGCGTGCTGGCTCACACCTATGATGCCAGCACTTCGGGAGGCCAAGGCAGGAGGACCCCTTGAGCCCAGGCAAGTCAACACAGACCACCTGGCGCCTCTCACCTGCCCTGCTGCCTGTACAGGTTTTGCCGAGACGTTTCTACCCATTTCTGGAGTGTTCATCATGAGGTCGATCAGAGGTCTGCTTTCAGGTCCCACAGGCCCACTTGCTTCGGGAGTGCTGCCCAAGTCGATGAGAGGGAGGTCAAGGAGGGGTGTGCGCTCAGCCATGGGAGTGGTGGTCAGGGGGTTGATCTCTATAAGAACCTAGACAGGAACACAAGATGGGAAGGAGAGTCTAGCATCTTCTTGCCAACCATCTTGGGAAAACTTTGTAGTGCTCATGTCCCCAAGTGGGCTGACAGTTTGGAAACCCAAGGAAGGAGGGCTGGGCCAGGCACTTGGCAGGAGGAGGCCTCTCCTCTGGCCACCACCCGCCTCCTTGTCCACATCCCACCCACCAGCAGCCAACTCACCCGCTACCTCTTCCCTCTTCCCGACCCAACCCTGTCTCTGTCACATATACAGGAAAAGGTGTTGCTTTTTTTCTCCTCCAGAGGTCTGGAAGTCCTGACTGCCTCTCCTTGGGTCAGCTGGCATTGGAGCCCAGTGTCACAGGACAAAGTAGTGTAGGGAACCCTGCCAGCCGCTGTCCCTGAGTTACTGCCCGGCTCCCAGAGCAGTGCCCACCGATCGCAGGGAGCACAGGTAAGCCCGGTCTGCTGCAGCGTACCTCACTCGGGGCCGGGGCTGCCCTTGGCTTTGCTTCATCCCGAGTTGCTTCTGTAGTGATGCTTTTTGAAAAAGTAAAATCGCTTTTTTCTGGAGAAAAGTTAAGTGCCTGAGGGACACTGGATGGAGGAGAAAAACTTCCATCAGGTGACAAGTCTGCCTGACTAGCATCAACCTCTCTGTCGCTCTCCGTTGTTGGGTCAGTTCTGTGGGAGGAAAAAAAATCTTATAAGGAAATTTCTCCAAAATGCTTGTTTATTTGGTATGGCTCAGGAAGCAGGCCGTTTTTGGAGAAGTGTCCTGTGATGGAGTCCTGGCCCTGGTGCCAGCTGGTCAGCGAAGCCACCAACCATGAGGCCTTCACCCTCAGCCCTGAGTCTCCTCCGTATAAAGGACGGGCTGAGGGATTTCCACAGCGTCCTGAACAAGAGCAAAGGCCACACGCAGGAGCCCCTCTGCAGCCACGTCAGCTCCAGCCCACCCGGACCCCCGCCCTGGCAGCTTCCTCGGAGGCCTGGCCGGCGACTGGGCAGGTCTGAAGCTCTGGTGACAGCTGCATGGCGCTGGCCCTGCACTCTGTGGCGCACCTCACACCAGCAGACACTCGTCTCCCGCAGGACAGTGACGAGAGCGCGGCCAGGCTTGTCTGCCGCCCTCAAATACCTGTCCACGTGGAACTGATTCCTGGGAGGAAATCAAGGAAAGCAGCAGTGTCCGTAAATCAAAACAGAATATCTTCGTTCTGAATATTTTAAAAGTGTCACAACAATCTGAAAAAGAATGTTTTCTGTATTTATACCTACAAACGTGCAAGATACTTAAACACACATTCCTAACTGTTACACGCTGGGTCTCGTTTTCTCTTCGCCGTTCCGCGCCCGTCCCTCTCCCCTCGTGACATACACCTGGCTTTCTTTTCCTCCAGAGACTTCTCCATTCTCACAGAACTAAACAGGTACATACGTGGTCAGTAACTACTGTTGGTGGATATATAAACACACAAGATGTACAAGGATACGTAATTTATAAAGACTATGTATTTTTAAAACACACACAGGATTTTGTTCCTCGGCCGCTGTTTCTTTTGTAGAAGTGGGAACATTTGTTACACACTCTCTTTCCCAAGGATTCCTCGCGGAAACCCGTCCGAGTCAGCTGGTACGACGCCCACGCGTGGCTCTCGTGTGTCCACCCGCACTGCAGTCTCACACCGCTGCTAGGGTCTGGGGGTCAGGGTCGTGTGTGATTAAACTTTGACATGTTGACAAATGTCTTTCTAAAACATATGTCACGGTGCACATTTCTATTAGCAATGCCCTCGGCTACCTCTCCCCCTCCTCCTCCCCAGTTAGCGTGAACTCGGTCGGACGCCTCTACAAAGAGCTGTCGCCCAGTTATTAGAACTGGCATTTCCCCAACAGCAGCCAGGCTGCTACCTTCTCAGATGTTGCTGGCCATCTGAGCTTACTCACATCCTTTGCCTGTTAGGCTGTTATGCAGTCAACCAATTGTTTACTGACTTCGTTCGTGGTCGCTGTAGCCACAAATGGACACAGAAGACTTCAATATCTCCACGGGTGAGCACGGCTATCTTTTCTCACCCCCAGGGTTTACAGCAGTGATCCACCATGTCTCCTGCCCTAAGCTTGTACACACGAGTCTCCTGGGTTTTCTTGTAACTTTAAGTCTCAAAGTCATCTGGAATGTATTTCTCCATGGTATAAGTTGGGTAAGATTTAATTCTCCTCCAGATAGATGACAATTTATTTGTGTTTTTTAAAAAATATCTATATGCATAAGGGAAATCAGCCTACAGTCTGCTCTTTCAGGTGTTACACTACCTATCGTGTTTGGCTATTAAGATGAAGTGAGGGCTGAGAGGGCGGCTCACACCGGCAATCCCAGCACTCGGGAGGCTGAGGCAGGAGGATCACTTGAGCCCAGGAGTTTGAGGCTGCAGTGAGCTGTGATCACACCACTCCAGCCCAGGGTAGAGAAAGACACTGTCTCAAAAAAAAAAAAAAAAAGAGGAACTTTCCACCTTTATTTATCCGTAGCCTGAATTAGTTAACTTTAAAAATCAGAATGATGTATCTTAAGGGTTACACACAACTCCGCTGAGACCCTGCTGTGACCTCATCTCAGCCAAGTGCCTTTTCGATCTTTAATCACCTAAGCTCTAACTATGGCTTAATTCATGTTTCCTGGCATCAATTCAGATAACTTATAAATTTTAGGAAATCAGTTGATTAGGCTTTCAGATTATCAGAGAATTACAGGCAGTATTTCTATTTCCTTACAATACCTTTAATTTTTCCTCCATCTACATTCATGTCTGTTTTCTCATGGCAATTCTGTCTGTTTTTGCTCACCTCTCCCCACTGCCATCTGGGGGCCAGAGGGCTGTACCGGGGAGCTCCTCAGCCTCAGCCCAGGGGGTGGCTGGACCACAGCTGACGGGACACAGAACGCTGTCGCCCTCCCAGGGGCAGAAGCAGCCCCTGCTGGGTCAGGCCACTAGAACAGCACTGTCCACCAGAACTTTCTGCAGTGGTGGAAATGTCTGGTATCTGCACTGTCCAGGATGGCAGCCACTGGCCACATGTGGCAATTGAGCACTTGGACTGTGGCGAGTACAACTTAAGGAGCTGACTCTCAAATTTTATTTAATTTTAATTAGTTAAAATTCAAGTGGCCACATGTGGCTGGCAGCCTCCACAGGGGGCAGGGCATATAGAGGAGTCCCCTGTGTGCTGCTGTCCTCAGGGTGCTGGAGAGGGCACTGCCCACCCACTAAAGTCTTCAGCGGTCTCTTGGGGGCCAGGGACACACGGCCCAGTCGTAAACAGCCATAGCTTTCGGGGCTCCCACCCTGCCCTCGCCCACCCTGACAGGGCAGCCCCGCCCGCTCTCTCCACAGGCGCCCCAGGGTCCAAGGCCTGAGGGGCTCAGTGCCTTGAGCCTCAGAGCACCAGATCGGTGGGATTGGAATGAGAAGTGGACAAAAGGAGTCAGTCCAAGGTCCCCATGTTCCCCAAATGCCCCAGCCTTCCCCAAAGCTCTGCCATGATGCAGTAAGAGCACAGAGAGCCCAGTGCTTTGCCCATTCAATGTTCTTCACGGACAAACTGCGGAAGCCAGGGCCCAGCAGCATGCTCTACCGGGGGGATTGCTCGCATGCACATTTCTTGAGCACCTACCCGGGCCTCGTTCTCAGCTCTGGGGATAAGCGATGACAGAAGACCCTGACAGAGGGTCCCAGCTCTCAGGGAGCTGCCACGCTAGGGGAGGGGCCCGATGGGTGTCCAGTGGACAAATGCACACACAATCCACATTCAGGTGCTGAGGGGAAGAGAACTGCTCTGAACAGACACAGCCAGGGAAAAGGGACGGAGGGCTTGGGCGGGGAGGTGGGGCGATTCTACACAGGGTTTCCCAGAAAGCTCTCTGGGGTTGGCCTCTGGACCATGACGTCAATGACGAGGAAGAGACAGCTCCACCAGGACCCGGGGCAAGCACGTTCTGGGCGGAGAGGACAGCAGGGCCAGGCTTGCTGCAACCCGGCAGGGAGGCACACGGCAGTGCCACGACAGAGACGGCAGGACACAAGGTGGGGTGAGCAGGTGTTGTCACCCCTGCCGAGAGACTCTAGGACCCAGCTGCAAGAACGGCAATGATCTAAGAGCTCCTGCGGCAAATGCGTCTCCTGCGCAGCTCTGTCCGAAGGGCTGTTCCCAGGGCCTCACCTACCCAGACGGTGTGCCCGGGGCAAGGCCTTCTCCCTCATTTGCCTGGGATGTGAGGTGAGAAAAATGACAAAGAAGCAAGCAGGTGCCCTCCCTGCCTTTCCACTGCTGAGAAGCGGAGGCAAGATCAGCCCAGCTGCTCCCTGACAAGCGACTGTACAGCCTTCCAGCACAAAAATACTCCGAGGTTTTATGCGTTTGAGACAAAGTTATTGCAACCTTTCCTCACCGCTCTCTTACCTCACCACAGACTTTTTCCGGGGCTCAGAGGACAGTCGCCGAGCAGGCACAGGCAGGGGAGAAGCCACAGCCCTGGGCATGGTTTTAGGGGCCGTCAGTGGGAGGCTGGAGAGGCGCCGGCCGGCAGGCGTGGGCAGCGCTGACCCCCGTCTCGTACTCAGGGGTGTCCCTGCGCTGCTCAGCAGGCTGTGTGCGGCCGGCTCTGATGAATGTCTAGCAGGAGTGCTATGGACGATGACCCTGGCAGAGAAAAAATCGGAGTCTTGAGGAAAGATGACCTAAGAAAAATAAAATCTAATTATTCAGCCAATGTGCTAATGCAGTATCAAGTCTTTTGGTTTCAACATAAAAGATTCAGGCCAACGACCCCTGTGCGAGCTCTGTTCTCTGAGCAGGGGCTCCGACGTGGGCAGAACTCAGAGCTGCTGCCAAGCCCCATGAAGCCCTGGCACGGGCTCCAGGCTCCTCCGTGAGAAATGCCTTCACCCGCTCTTTCCTCGCAGGTGACTAAAAGACAGTCGATCAAATGTGATTGCACTTTACAGCTGGCACTGTTAAAACTCACTTCACAGAGCTTCAGAAGAAACTGAAGAATCACCTTTTGATGATATCGTAAATACTTCCCTAAGGAAGTCCAGACCCACAGCAGTGTCCGCTGGGCAGCGGATGGACAAGCTGGTCTCCCCACATGCCCATTCACCCCCAAGTTTAAGGTCATCTGAATCCAGCGTGAACACGAATGAGCAAGCAAGGCCCTCGGTGCTCAGTTCTCACACGTCTCAGGTCTCTGGCAGTACCTGTGGCCTTGACTACCAGTGTGTCTTGCCTGCCTGCTCCTTTCTTTTGTTGGTGATAAAGAAGGAAGCCAAGTCAACTGTCATCTGCCGTGGTCTCAATGCTTGTGCCCCTCAAATTCGCGTGTTGGCATCTTTACCCCCAAGGTGGTGGTGGTCTTAGGAGGTGGGGCTTTGGGGGGGTGATTAGGTCCTGGGGGCAGAGCCCTCATGAATGGGGCTAGTGCCCTTATGACAGAGGCCCAGAGAGCTGCCTTGCCCCTTCCCCACGTGAGGACAGAGAGAAGGCACTGGCTGCAAATCAGGCCCTCCCCAGACACCAAATCTGCTGGTGACGTGATCTTGGGCTTCCAGCCTCCAGAACTGCAAGAAACAAAGGTTTGCTGTTTAAGGCACCCAGTCTAGGGTACTTTTGCTTTAGTAGCCTGAAAGGACTAGGAAACTATTTTAAAATAAAACAATTCAAGGACACACTGCTGACATGGAACCCACAGAGGTCTAAGGATGACATAGCTATTTGTTCTATTTGGACAATTGTCATGTTCTTTAAAAAGAGTCTGGAAACAAACTTTAATTAACATCAACTGGAAAACAGGACCACCCATGGAGCACTGGCAGGGGAGGGGCGCTACCAAATAGGGCTTCTGCTCTCTGCAAAGTTCTGGAATCACCACCCTACTTCCTTTACTGCTAAGTTTTGGCAGCTCCACCACAAATTCCAGTGGAAATAAATAAAAATACCAACAAATATAATCCTCAAAGTAACCCAGGCGAGGTGGGGAAACCGAGGCACTGAGGTGAGGTGTTAATAGTAGGTGACTGTCTGGCTGTGTCCTTTGCTGTTAACCACATGTGAGAGGGAAGACAGCTTCACACAGCGACACTCGGCACAGGGGGACCATTAGATCTGACCCCCCTGGGGCCTGTGCCGAGCTCACACAGGAGGAAATCAAGGCCGGAGTCGGCAACAGCCTTGCAGATGGCCCCAGGCTAGTCTGAGGTGGAGCTGGTGGCGCCCTCTCTGGTGTCCTGCCCAGGCTCATTCTGCCCGCCCCACCCTAGCAAGGTCCGGAGCAGTGCCCCGGCCTGGCCACATGCGGATGCCAGGCCCTCAGCCCTGCAGCTGTGAATCCAGGGAGTCTGAGCGTCCCTGCTGCCCCCCAGCCCGCTCCACGCAGGAGACAGGGAGGTGCAGGAGCTCCAAGGGTGAGGAGCGCGAGGTCTCCTCTGCCATGCCGAGGACGCAGAGCTGTGCAGGGGCTGGGCCTCAGTGAGGGGCAGTAAGGACAGCAAAGGAGGGACGGTGGTGGGGCTGGGGAGGGGCTGCTGTCCGAGTGACTTCCACCCTCGCCTGGGCAGCCGGTGCCACGCGTATGCACGTCCTCTCGCTGTCGAAATATCTGCATTGCGCTGGATCACAGACCAGGAAAGTGGGGGGTTGGGGGGGGCGGGGCTGGAATCCAAACCCAAGTCCAAGCAACCGCAGGCACCAGTGGTCTCCAACCTTGGCACAAATCAGAGCCCCTGGGAGATTTTAGAAAACCCAGACCCTGGGCTCCGCCTCAGACCAACCAACTGGGAACCTCCAGGGCGCTGGGCAGCTGGAGCAGCACTGAAGGGGCTCCTGCTGTGACCCGTGACAGGGGCTCCTGTTGCCCACGCAGCCGAGGTGACAGCCACCTGGGCCCAGGGCTGGGAACCGCTGTCCTGCACGATGCGAGTCTCAGGGTCTCAGGTCTGCAGCGCGTATACAAGTGGCTCACACACCTCCGCTCGGTCCGTGCCCACGAGCCAGATGCCGAGGCCAGGCGCAGGCCACTTGAGGCACGCGGCACTTGAGGCAGTCAGCAGATACTATACATGGGTCGTTCTCACGGTAATAAAGAGAAAGGAAGCTGAGCGAGGCCAATTACCTGCCAAGCGATGTGCACGACTGCGGCCGTTGAGCCCGTGAGAACTTCGGCGTCGCGCTGTCCGGGGATTCACCTGAGGCCGGGAGAGGAAGCGTGTGCAGTAGTCAGAAACAGGGGCAGTGGCGGATCTACCTTTGGGCAACTGTCCTCCAAACGTCTCCCTTTCCCACCTTGGCGTGCAGAGGGCACTAGGAAGTGCAGACGGAAGGTCAGACAAGTCTCTGCGGGGAAACCCGCCAGAGGCAGGCACGTGAGAGGGGCCCGTCCCCCTACCCGGGGACCCCAGCTGGTGGATGCAGCAGAGAAAGAGCCATTTTCACACCCCTACCCGACCCTGGCTGCGAACCCCGCACAGGCGTGAGCATGACTCCGCAGAAGGCTCATACTGAACAAAGTCTACTTGTCAGACGGCCACCTGCACACGCTACACACTCGCCCATAGAAATGACACCACATGCGGTTAGATTCCCAGGCAAGCTCAACAAGGCCCATAAATGCCTTCACTTCCCTAAACCACGCCATCGCTGGGATCATAATAACACGTTTCGTGTGTGGGTGCTGTTTTACAGTTGACAAAGCATTTCTGCTTGTATGACCTCACCGGGTACTCACAAGGGGACGAGGACTGGCTCAGAGCCCAGGGCTTCACGAGCGCCCTCGGGCCAAGGCCAGCACAGGCCCCCAGACGTCCAGCTAACCCCCATCCCCGCACGACACTGGCTCCATGTGGGCTGGCTCACGAGGAAGCACGTCCCAGCGGGAGCTTGAGCATCAGCCACATGTACCTGGGCCCAAAGCCCAGGCGCCAGGACCCCTGCAACATCTTGCTATGTCTTAGAAGCTGCCAGGAAAGAGGCGTCCCCAGATCCCTCGCTCCAGCACAGAAGGGGAAGGGCGGGGCCTGGAGCAGAGACTCCTCAGCAGGTGCTCCAAGGAGGCAGGGAGGCCCCAACTGCTCCTCCGCAGGCGCCCCGCCCTGGCCCTCCCATCCTGAACAAATCTGAGCCTGCCCCCTGCACCCCAGGCTCCTGTCCCACGTCCCTGCCCCTTTTCGAAGCCAAATCTTCTCCAAAGAGCTGCCTGCAGTTGCTCGTCTGTTTCCCCTCTCTTATTCTTTTTAAATTATCTCTCTTAAAGTGATGCATGCACAGGGTTTTTAAAAATGAAGGGTAAAACCTTAGGACACAAGACTCCTGTCGCACCCACCCCTGCTTCCAACTTGCCGGTGGTTTCTCGAGGTTTCGCTGCTCATGTCTAAATCACACACACTGCTCCTTCTGCACCCGCCGACACCCCTCCCTCCCCATCCCCGCCCCTGCTGAATGTCTCCCATGCTTCCCCCACCTCTTTTTTGGTTTGTTTGTTTTTATTTTGGAGGGTGGGGGTCTGTGAGTACACTGTCCCGTAACCATCACGCCTCTCGGATCACCGGCCCTGGGTCCACAGAGGTCTCCTCTGAGACCCAAGCTCTGCCGGCAGTGCTGGTCCCTCCGCACGGGCTCCTCTCTTCCTCCTTAATGTTCTCCCGCTCCTCTGGGTGGAGCATGTTCTCCAGCAGCTCCCAAAGGTGGCATGGCCGGGTGATGATTTTCATCAAACGTTACATATCAAAGTCTCGTTATTACACCCTCACAACTGACCCAGGGCCAGTCTGAGCACAGAGTCCCAGACTGAAATCATTTCCTCCCAAAATGTCACAGGTGCCACTCTGCTGTAGCTTCCAATACTGCAGAGGCAAAGTCCAGAGTCATTCTGAGTCTCAATCCTTTGTGTGACCCCGGCAGCACAGAGGCACAGTAAGTAACACCATCTGCGCTGGACTACTTGACGAATAATGCTGCTTGTCTTGGGAACACTTCAAGCAACTGCACATAAGACAGGCTCATCACAGGGCACCGTTCACGTTGCCCCCAGACTTCAGCCTCTCCTCCACAGTGACAGCCAGTGACACAGACGACGACACAGGGCAGCAGTACACTGCTGGTGCTCTCAGCCGCCCAGTGCGCATGCCACCATCTCCCAGAGCTTCCTGTTCCCAGCAGTGTGGCTGCTCCCTGGGGCCTCTCCTTCAGCCGGTGCCGAGTTTGTGGGACCGGTTTTGACCCGTGACGAATGACAGAATGTGTGCAAGAGACAGCCCTGTCCCCAGTGTTGCAAAGAAAGGAGGGACGGCCTGCTGAAGGTAAAACGCACGTTTTAGAGGTGCCTGAGTGGCCACGGAGGACAGTCTAGCAGAGGGGAAGCCAACAGGGATTGGGATTAGAAGTCCTATGGCATTGAGCAGCCCGACAGCCACGAGGCCCAGGCAACAACTGTGCAAACACGGCCAGAAGAAACGCGGCAAAGGCACGTCCTGGCTTCAGGCATTTGCACAGGAAGGAAGCAAACACTCGTGCACACACCTCTATGTGGCCTGGGCCACGAGGTGCCCCCGAAGAACCCAGACTATCGGAGCTCCCGTTTCTGCCAACAACTCAGCTCTCTGCTGTTGAAACGTAAACTTAAATCTCCAGCCGTGACTTTTCCCCTGAGCTTGGCTGCCAGCTCGACACCCCAGCTGCGGCCCAGGTCGCCACCCACGTTCACCAAGTCCACAGTCGGGCAGTGGACTGCTCCCCCACCCCCGTCTCCCACCCCTCCCTTTACCGTGAGAGGCAGCACCGCTGCTCCTGCCGGAACCCCAGGGCCGCTCACATCCCGTCCGCACCGCCACGCGGCGCCCTGCACAGCAGACAGGCCGGAGCCCCTCGCCTTCCCACTGCCGCCAGCCTAATCCCACTCGGGTCAGCCGAGGCTCGTGGGGCCCTCCCTGTTTCCCGCCTGCTCCGAGAGTCTGTTCTTCCCTCAGAGGAGGGATGTGCTGAAGGTCAAGTCACTCTGCTTAAGACCCTCGAAAGCCCTCCTCCTGCACGCCAGGGTCCACCCTGTGTCACAAGGTGCTCCACGCGCTGGCCTCGGGCTGCCTCTTTGTCTTCATCTCCTTTTATTCTTCCCTCAGGCACTAACCCGGCTGAGGGTGCTGGGTTTGTTCACGCTCCTCTCCTTCCCAGTAAGACATTTTAGGTGGATGCGGAACAAAGACAACGTGTCCCTGCATCCCGTGAAGGGAAGTGTGGTGATCAACAGGACATGAAATGGAAGTGACAGGGACGATGCACAGTGAGTGCCCTTGAAAGATAGAGATTAAGGCAGGGATTCACTCTTCTTCACCTAATCTGTCTTCCTGCCGGCAGGTATGAGGGCTGGAGCTGGTGCAGCTGTACTAGACCATGAGGAAGAGAAGATAAGCCCAGCAAAACCTCTCTGGAATAGCTGCCTAGACTTTCATGTGAGAGGGAAGAAAACATCTAGCTGATCAAAGCCAGTGTAAGCCAACCACTGTGACCACACTCCTGCCACTCCAGCCTCCTCCTGTTCCTAGAACTTGTCGAGCGCCTTTCTGCCTCAGGACCTCTGCACTTGCCACTGCCCCACTCTCACGGCTCAGACCTCACCTCAGTGTCACCCCCTGGCCATCTCAGCCATAGGGCCCACTCCACCCAAACTCCTCCCCCACACCCAGTCACGTGACACCATCTTCTTGTATTTGCTCCATTATACCTGTGATCTGAAGGCATACTTATCTGATGACATTTCATGACTTTTCCTATTAAACATAAATTCCATGACAGCAGGATCTCTCATTGTTATTTCCCCTGTCCCTAAGAGGGCCAGCACATGGAAGACACTCAACAGAACAGCCCATTCTGATATGAAGGGACTCAAAATAAGGTTTTCAGGAGTTAAAGGCCACCTGTACTGGCCAGCAACGCTGATAACCGCAAAACAGCCGAGCCACCTCGAAAGCACATCTACCGGACGGGGAGGCCCGAACGATCCCCTCACTGCGAGTTAACTCTGCACAACCTCATGCACTGCACAAGCTTGTTGGATTATCTTGTTGAACCTACCAATCCCCATCCACTACCTGCCAGATGCCACACAGGGCAGCAGGCAGGACCCAAGCGGGGCACAGCACTCTCACTGACTGATGGAGACAGAGACTGCAGCTCAGGACGCCGCGGTGGCTGGAATCTGACGTCAAAGGACCCGAGGAGGGAGGAGGAGCTCTAGAAATCTGCGAGGACTCTCTCCAGTCTGCGGCTGAATACTAAGCAGCACACGGGTGGAAGGTGAGACGCCTTGAGGTGGAGACAAGAGCAACCAGTGGGGAACACTGAGCAGACCTCACAGGGCTGAGACCACTCACCTCCGACCAGCCAGAGTGCGAGACCTCGCCAAACACAGGACCTCCGAAAGGCCGTGTGTTCGTAGTAGGGCTAAACTATCCCAAGGGTCAAGGCTAGTCTAGAACTGCCCCTTCAAAGCTTAAAAAGTCTCGAAAAACTCAAATTGGTCTATAATTTTAACTGCCTGTCGAACTAAACTTAACACCTTAAAAGAAAGACAACAAAATCCAGATATTCAAAAATGTAAAATTGAGAATATCCAGTAGCCAATAAAGAGTTCCTAAACACGTATAGAAGCAGGAAAATGTGACCAAAAGCAAGCAGAAGAAGTAGTCAGTAGAAATATAAACCAAAATGACAGGGAAGATGCAAGTAGAAGAATCAGATTTTTAAAACAATTCTTATAAATATGTTCAAGAATTTAAAGGAAAACAGAAGTACCATGAGGAGAAAACATGGGAAAACTCTAAGGTTGGAAACAAAAAATTAACTGGACGGCCTTAACAGCAGATTAGATACCGCAGAAGAAAAGGAATGTGAACCCGAACGCAAGACACTAGAAACTATCCGAACCGAAGCCCAAGAAAAAGGCTAAAAGAAACCGAACAGAGCCTCGGTGACCTACGAAACATCAGGAGTTCCGACAGACGTGGGAGTGGAGCCCCAGGAAACAGAAGGGAAACAGGAAAAAAATATCTGAAGAAATAATGGCCAACTTTTTCCAGATTTGATGAAAAAATATCAATCCACAGATCGAAAGAAGTTCAAGAAATCCTAAGCAGTATTAACACAAAGAAAGCCACGTCAAACCACATAACAATCAAATTGCCGAAAATAACAATAAAGAGAAAACCACAAAGGCGAAGAGCAAGGACACGTCACATGCAGGAGACTGGACACAAAATGAGACCGCCAGTGACCTTCCTCCAAACAGTGCAAGCGAAAGGCTGGTGGGACACACCTCTACGTGCTGTCAGAGGAAAGAAAGCAAAGAAACCACCATCGCCGCAACAAATCATTTTTTAAAACTTTAAACAGAATTTCTTCAATATTTTAAAAACCCATTACAACGTATCTATTACTCATTACTTACCAACAGAAAACCTGGGAATTTTAAACTGACTTGTAGGAGTAGGCATAACCTTTGTCTTGGAATTCAGATAGGAATCTCGCCTTCTCATACTTCTGGTTTTATTCAATTGAGAAGATTTTGACAATACGGAATCAGAGTCCACCCTCGGGCCTCCACCTTCTGGAGTCTGGGCTTGGGTGGGAGAAGCTGCAGGGGGCGTCATGGGCTGCTCAGCTGCCCGCTCAGCATCAGCCCGCCTGGCTTGCCTGTAGGGTGCACCTGCAGCGCCCGCCCGCAGCATGGTGGGCCCCGTTCTGCCTGACTTGCTGTTGTTTGACAGAGGCTGGGAACTAGTTGCAGGCAAACTTGCAAATTCACTTGATTTAGCTGGAAGAGGATACACATAAAATCTGGTCATCACTTAAGCTCAAGTTATTTTAAAATTATGAAGCTACTAAACACACACAAGTTATGCTACCTTTGGCAAATCTATCTTAAACATGTAACATATGAACAATACTCTGCCTGCCCATCAGGCAATACCATCAAACACAAGACAACCCAGGCCGCTTGTAGCCTAGCTAAGTGTGTTCTAAGGTACTAATTCTCAACACAATTACCAAATGTACATAAGCATACAGAACTTAATTCTTCATCAATTATGTTGACAACAGAAATCTACCCTCGTTCAGCAGATGGAAGTGGATAGTCTAGTCACATGTCCCACCTGTCTGGTCAGAGAAGTGGGCAGGGAACAAGCTGAGAAGCCGTAATCATTACTGGGTGACTCCTTTAACTTACAAGAAGGAGGCTGGGTTGTATTAATCATAAGCACTATTTAAAATAGAATAGCGGGCCAGGTGTGGTGGCTCATGCCTGTAATCCTAGCACATTGGGAGGCTGAGGCAGGAGGATCACTTGAGGCCAGGAGTTTGAGACCAGCTTGGGCAATATAGCGAGACCCCATCTCTACAAAAAATAGAAAAATTCGGCCAGGCACGGTGGCTCATGCCTGTAATCCTAGCACTCTGGGAGGCCGAGGTGGGAAGATTACTTGAGCTCAGGAGTTTGAGACCAGCCTGAGCAAGAATGAGATCCCATCTCTACAAAAAATAGAAAAATTAATGGGGTGTGGTGCTGTGTACCTGGAGTCCCAGCTGCTTGGGAGGCTGAGGCAGGAGGATCACTTGGGCCTAGGAGTTTGAGCTTGCTGTGAGCTACAATGACGCCATTGCACTCTAGCCAAAGCAAAAGAGCGAGACTGTCTCCCCCGAACCCCCCCCCCAAAAAATAGAATGGCAGATAAACTAGGGTAATGCGTACTCGGCTACCAATATACCTAGTATATAAGGCGATCTGATAAGAGATTCTTAAAGAAAAACTTTAAGAGAATAACTAACGCCACGGGTTATATCTACACAGTGCACAACAGTTTTACAAGGTTCTTCCTCACACGAGATCTTATCTGATCCTAGTGGCTCTACTATGTACAATAGAGAAATATACATACACTAGGAGATGCACTCAATTTCTGCCTCAACCTTTACTAGAGGTAAAAATACAAAAACAGTAAAAAAAACAGTGCTGATGTACTGCATGGATACAGCAAAATACACCTGATAACAATTAATTAACATTAAAGAGCTTGCATGTATTGAACGTGCCAGGCACTCTACATAGCACTTCTAACATGCAGGCACACACAGGAGCTATGTTACCTGTTTGTAGACAGGATACATACTTCTCTTAACCACGGAGTGGCAGAGTCGGGATTCCAAGTCAGATTCAAGAGCTCATACATTACGCATTTTGTGAACAAAATCCCCACCACACTGCCTTGGACCATAGTAAAAGTGTACACAGCAAATACAATTTGAAGAGGATTTAGGTCTAAAGAGCAGGAAAGCCAGGCCTTTCCCTATAGCCTCCTGGGGTTTCTTCCCTTCACCACTAGATGGCAGCATTGGCCTGGTAAGGTGCCAATGCAGCCTAAACTTAAACAGGTTTGGGAGGCAGATTTATTAACAGATAGACATCCAGCAGTTATAGGGGTTATATGCCCTAAATTATCTGGAAACAGTCCTATTTTATTTTTATTTTATCTTTTGTAGAGACAGGGTCTAACTCTATTCTATCACCCAGGCTGGAGTACAATGGTGTGATTGACATAGCTCACTGCAGCCTCAAATTCTTGGGCTCAAGCGATCCTCCTGCCCCAGCCTCCCAAGTAGCTGGGACTACAGGTGCACCCCACTGTACCTGGCTAATTTTTTTATTTTTTGTAGAGATGAAGTCTAACTACATTGCCCAGGCTGGTCTTCAACTCATGGCCTCACGTGACCCTCTTACCTCGGCCTCCCAAAATGCTGAGATTACAGCTGTGAGCCACTGCGTCTGGCCATGTCCTATTTTAAAACCTCTGTCTGATGACATTAACATGAGGCTGGGCCAAGCGCCTGTGTCCTCAGGCATTAGGTACACATGTACACTGTACGTCTTGTTTGTACCCCCTAGACTGAAGCCATCTGAGTCCCTTCATGGGAGGGACTCACTCTGAGGGCAGGTGACATAGTCTCTTTCCTGACTGGTGTCCAGCCCATTCCACATGACAGAGCAAGCCCTCCAGGATGTCCTGCTGAGCCTAAGCTGTTCTAAAAAAGTAGCTTCTGAGAAACACACTGGGCAGTGTCCCAGGCCTGGCCTGGCTAGATGTGGGTCTGAGCACGAGACGCTGGCCACTCACCTTTGCCTACCGCTGGCAACGCAGACACGCTGGACGCGCCACTTGACGCCGACCCTGAGGAAGACTTCCTTGCGAGACTGCCAGCACAGCCAGGTGGTTTTAACAGGGTCTTCTTCAGCCCCAACTGAGACAAAATGTAAAAAAACCAAATCAGCAAAGATTTCATTACCTACCCACTACTTATTTCTGCAAAAGTAGGAGTTTGAAATAATTTTTAATAATTTAGTAATTATCTTGAATTTAAAGAAAAAAGGCAAGCAGTACTTCGCCAAGTCTTCAAACCCCTGCATGAGCACCACGCGGAGGCGCTGGCTGAAATGCAGACTTTGGGCCCCAACCCAGACCCACTGGGTCAGTGGCTGTAGGGCCCAGATTTGGGCGATTTCAACAAAGAGTGCCAGTGCCGCTCACACAGAGCTCAGTCCGACTACCTGTGCCAGCAACTAAATGGCAAGGGCGTGGATGGTAATCTCTCTGCAGTTTTCAAAACGTCGACGTCGCATGTTATCTGCACAAGGACCCGTGAGGGAAGCAGGGCATCCCCGTTACAGACAAATTGACTACCAGAGAGCTCGCCTCTGCCTTTTCCCAACCCACACGGCTCCCAGTGGCGGGGGCCGGCCCCCAACACTCACTGCCATGCAGGCGTTTCACCAAGCTGCCTCTCATGAGCTATATTTTCAACTGTCCTAACTCGATTTTAATCAAAGACAAATCACTTGTGTCCAAAGCTGCCACCTCATTCCCATCGATCTCAAGTCAGGCAGCCCTGCCCAACTCACCTTGTTTGGAACAGGGAGCAATCGCTTGCTTTGGACCAAGTGGCTTCCGCTGGCTGGCAGGCCAGCAGCACCCAGAGCAGGTCTGTCAGGGAGCACGTCCCTGCGGCATTCCTTTCCGTTTGGGATTTTCGTCCCGGAAGGACTAGCTGGCACCTCTTTCTTGGGCTGAAAAATTGTAATTTGGACTGTGAGAACTGTCTAGTCTTTAACAAAGTACAGTGATACCAAGGCTGCGTTGGAGAGCAAGCCAGGCACCATCTATCTTCCCAAACGCCTCACGTGCTCCTCAATTCATCACCTGGATGGAAGGGAGCAGGGCAGTCCACTCGCTCCACCAAATCGCTGTGGACAAAAATGATGATGGATTTTCCCTCCTCATTAAAAACAGTGTAAAATCACATCAAGACAGATAATTAATCAGAGAGAGATCCTCTAAAGCTAATCCTCAGTCGGGATCCTTATTTAAGGACGGCAATGAGGAAACCGGTTCTAGCTACACACATTTTAAAATGCTGTGCAGAAAGGACTCATTCATTAAACGTTCATCCCTCTACCAGAGAAGCTGCTCAACTGCAATGAATCTTCTTGATCTAGCACCAAAAGCCATTTTCTTTGGCCAGCAGAGTCAAACAAAGAATAAATTCCTGACGTATTTAGGGACAAGGGCATTCATGGGACTGATCTATGCTTACATACATCACCCCTTGTAACAGGAGAGTTAATGAGGCCACAGCAATAAGCACTCGTAGTAGCAGAGATGCAGCACTTTTTTCCTTTCTAGCATTTTTAAAATTGAGATATACTTTACATAACTATTTTAGTTACTGTTTAGAGACAGGATCTTGCTGTGTTCCCCAGGGTAGATTCAAACTCCTGCGCTGAAGCAATCCTCAACCTCCCTCGCCCTAGGCGAACACTCGACCACTCCATCTCTGTTCTTTGTCTATTACCGTCATTCCATATGAATTCAATCATATGCGACCTTTTGTGTCTGGCTTCTGTCACTGAGCATAATGTTTTCAAGTGTCATTCGTGTGACAGCGTGTATCAGTACTGCATCTATTTTTATTGCCAAAAATATTCCATTGTCTGAATACAGCACGTTTTATGTAACCATCAGCTGATGGACATCTGGGTTGGTTCTACTTTTTGGCTATTATCAATAACACTGCTTTGCACCTTTGTGCATAGGTTTTCTATGGAAATATGTCTTCAGTTCTCTCAGGTATATACCAAGAAGTAGAGTTACTACTAGTAACCCTACATCTAACTTTCCGAGGAACTACCAAACAGTTCTCAACAACGGCTGCGCCATTTCACATTCCCACTAACAGTACGTGAGGCTTCCAGTTTCTCCACATTCTCACCAACACTCGCCATCCCGTTTCTGCTCCACACACCCGTCCTAGCAGTTGTCTCCAGGTGTTACCATCAAGCGGTCCTCACACGAACCAGATGTGCCTGTGAGCCACCCTGGCAGTGAATTACCTTTTCTGCAGAAACATGCGGGAAATGGTGGGGGTTCCCGAGTGAGCCCGAATGCAGCTCAGCTGTGGGGATGACGCCTCGCTGACCAAAAACTAGCTGTCTGGTCCCCAGGACCAGGAATCGAGGGAGATACTGAGTCCAGAACAGCCAAAATTACACCAGTCTCTGCCCTGAGTCCACGTGTGCTACGCACAGCAAGACCCAGCCCACGCTCATTCTAGAAACATCACTTTTAGAGATTTACATCCTAAATGGTCTCCAGAAAAAGGAGTTTATACAAACAGAGGGGTAAGCCCCATCATTCAGATCGGCGGGGCTCAGCATGCCTGCTTGGTCAAGGGCTCTGCATGGCGGATGCACTTTCAACTCGCTTCATTTTGGGGCTCCACACCATAGGGGGTGGTCGTGCGGTTCAAGAGATGGGCTTGTGGAGAGGGAAAAGGAATTTCCAGGCCCTTGCTGGGCATTTTGCATTTACCTAAACCTCCCAACTACCCCATAAAATGTCATTCTTCTCTAACCGTTGCCCAAGGCAGGGAGCAGAGTTGGGAAGAGCTACAGGGCAGGTGCCAACCTGCCCTGCCTCCCTGTGGCCTCCCCTCTCCTGAGCAAGAGCCAGGGCAGACAAACCTGGCAGCAAGCAGTGGTCCGACATCCACCCTTCTCCTGCCACCCCTCAAGCTCCAGGACCCTCAGTTTCCCAGGGTTGGCTGACTGCACCCTAAAGGCACATCTGTCAACTGCCCTCCTCTCAAGGCCCAGGGGGAAAGCAACGTAAACTAAGTCACAGTCAAGCGGCCATCCCAGCGGAGGGGGAATTTTTGGAAGAGGTTGTTTGTTAGAGCAAATGAAATCCCTAATGGGTGGTTCATCCAGTGCTGTAACAAAGCAAGAGGAGGAATTTCAAACAGAACTTAGGAGGAGGAGGTATTTTTAAGTCATCAAAGCCCTGCCCAAGCCACCCCGAAACCAGCTCCCCTTCTGACTGCCTTTCATGGACTTTGCATTCCTGCGCTCCTGGGTCCTCGGAGCTTCCGCACTTCTAGGTCTTTCCCCACCACTCTTCTAGGTCTTTCCCCAGGTGGTTTCCACAGGGGCGTAAACCGAGAGGGCTGAGAGGCAAGGAGTGGCTAGCTCCCCAAGTAAATGTTCTGCTGCCTGGTTGTGTCTACCTTCTCCATGGCCAAGTGGACGTGTCTTCCTCTAAGAGATGAAGCTCGGGGCAGCTGCAACCTGCCGGTGATGTTTCTCCGAGTCACTGCCTGACTCGGAGGGTGAGCAGTACTCGATTCCTCTGGCAAAGGCCGAGAAGGGTGCGGCCCCTGCGTCTGGGCGAGGCCAGCCTGGCGGGGAGAACTCAGTGGGGCCAAGGATGAGTCCGGCAGCGGGGACTCACCCGCAGGGGGCCACATGCCTGACAGTGGCGGTCCCATCAAGGGGCTGTCTGACAGGTAATATGTCTCCCTTTTAAGTGATCTGGGGCTTTTCTTCATTTCCTTTTCTTTCTCAAAGAGGCTTATTTTTAATTTTGATTCCTGTACAAATCGTTCCATGCCTTGGCTCCAGGGGTCTTTGGGCTGGGCAGCTTGGGCCGCCGTGTTTCTGTTGCTGTTTTCGATCCGCAGAGCCAATAAGTGCGCTTCTTTGTACACTTCCACAAACTTCTCCCCAGCGAGAGGGCTCCAAGAAACGCAACTTTCAGATGCTGGCAAGACAGGTTGTTCGGGAATTTGATTATTTAACTCCAAGCTGGCAGCAATACATCTTTCTTTATGTCCGACAGGTCCAAAAAAGACTTCATCATCTTCATTTGCACTAGTTTTAAAGAAAAGGATTTTTAATAATTATTAAAATGGAATTTAAACGAAAGACTACTCAATATGGTTATGCTCAAGGCGAGGGAAGAAAACTCATTTGTTTACCTTGAAGAAGACAACGAAAGATCAAAGTCAAATTTTTCATCGGCCAAAAGATGAAGGTCTGGGGGAAAAGAATCCACTGTTATTTTAGCGCTGAGGTTGACAAAGAGAAAAATATTACCAGTCTCTATAGCTATTAGAGCTATGGTAAAATTTTCGCCTCCAAAAATATAATCATTCATTATTTTAATTTAGTTATATTTTCATGGAGGAAACTAAATTATCTTATTTTTTCTATTTTCTTTTTAAAAATTGCATCAGCCATTCTGTGTCTGCTAAGCCACCCCAAAAGCGTAAGTCCTTACTCTTACGATATAATCTAAAATGCATTCACTGAATCGTTCAACTAGCTTTTCAAGAAGAGACAAGTCACTTTCAGGTATAGAACATTTTCAAAAGACCACCTGCCTCAGCTCCCCTAGACTTAAACTCCCCTCTTACAAGCTACAAAACACCTATTCATCTTTCAACAATGAATTTGAATATTATTCAAATGCATGGTAGGGACTCAATAAGTATTTGCTGACTGTCATCACTTCTGGGGAGTCCTTCCTAAACCCCTAGATAAAACTGCACTCTGTAGCCCCCATCCAAATTTGTATCCTAGCCGCCACGGCCTTGTCTGTTTATCAGCCCAACTCTCTAACAGGCCACAGGTTCTGGGTTAGTGGGTCTCTCCGCAGGGGCAACTGCTTCCTCCTCCCCAGGCCAGCCCCCCAGACTCCCCCAGCACCCGGACCTGACCCTCTACTGCTGTGTTAGCCTCTGAAGACACCTCTTGACCCTTCCATGGCCCCAACCAGACTACAGGTGCGCCCAAGACAACAAATGTCTAACACTCCCCAAATTCTCCAATGTCCAGCTAAGGGCCTAGACACTTAGTAAATATTTATTGAAACACACTGAAATAATATTTCTATACTGTAAAGTTTATATAGCACTCTCACAAATCATACCTTATTTGATATTAATAAACAATGCAGCATACTTATCAAAATCATAAAATGTGAAAATACTCTAATATCCTAATTCAGTCCCAATTAATCAATTAAATATGCCTAATTACCTAACCAAAGAAAAGGTAGAAAGCACAAGTGCACAAAAGAAATAAAAGAGAAATACCCACAGAAAGAGGGAATTAACAGATTCATAAGCTGGTTTGCTCAACACCATGCATGTAAACCTAAGAACTTGGCTGAAATGGATAATTTTCTAGGAAAATATAATTTATTTTTGTATTCAAATTATATAAATTTATTTACTTATACAATTGACTCCAAGAGAGAGAAAAAAATCTTAATAGCTCAATAAATCACAAAATAACTGGAGAAACTTATTAGACAGCTATCCTCTTCAAAAAAGCAAAGTCCACACTAGTTTCACAGGATAATTCTATCAAACCTTTAAAGAACAAACAATTCCAATACTATTTACAATGCTCCAGAGGACAGGAAAAAATAACCCTTCCAACTCACTTCTATGATGCAAGCATAAAGTTTGCTCAAGAAACAAAGCTATAGACCAGCCTCACTTATATCAACAGGAAAATCCTAAACAGGAATATTAGCAGACAATCCAGCAACATATTAAAAGAATAATAATATATTATGACCAAGCTCATTTCATTTCGGAAGTGTTACATGATTTAATTTTACACAATCTAGCAATATAATCATTATATTACTAGACATAAAGAGAAAACCGTATGATTGTTTCCATATATGTTGAAGAAGCATACGATAAAATACAATATACATTCTTGATTTTAAAGGCTCTTAACAAAAAGCAATATATTTTATCATATAAGGAAATATGCATTTCAACCCAAAAGCCAAAATTAGGTTCAGGGGGAGAACATCAGAAGTATTCCTTCGAAAGACAGGAATATATATCAGTTAAGATTGGCTAATTTATGCTGAAGTAACAAAGAATCCACAAAGCTCAAGTGGTTTAAAACAATAAACATACATGTCTCACTGGGAACCATACACCTGCTGAGCACAGGCTGGGGTCCCGCTCCCTGGCCTTAACACTCCAGAACTTGGGTAGATGGTGCCTCCACCATCCGGAACACACAACTGGTCTCTGTGGCAGGGGGAAGGGTAGAGCAAACTCCACACTGGTTTAAAGACTTCTACCTAGAATGACACATATCACAACATTCTAGTTTCATTAGGCCAAGCCTAACCTTCAAGTGGATAGGACATACAATTCTATCACATCCCAGAAGGCAAAAAAAAAAAACGTAGAAATACTAATGAACAGCACTACCATTTACATGGAAATTAACCCATAAGCCAACATCGGACTGGAAACTACACAAGCAATCCCATTAAAGCCAGGAACATGGCAATGACGTCTCTAAGCACCACAATTCTTCACGTTGCTCTGGACACGTTAACCAACACGATTAGACAAAGGTAAGAATGTGGAGATAAGATTATCATGGTGCACAGATGCTATGATAATAGACACAAGGAAAAAAACAACTGAAAACTATTATAAATAATAAAAGGACAAAAGAATATGACTGAGGACAAAATTAGTACACAGCAATCAACAGCTTTTATATCTCCAAAGACCAGTCAGAAGATATAATGGAAGAAAAGAGTTCATTTACCATAGCAACAACAACTACAAAATACCTATGAACACACCTAACAAGAAATACGCAAGATGCATGTAAAGAAAACTTAGCATCTCACAAAAGTCACATGTCAAATAAAAAGGGAAGGTGCACTATTCGATAAATGGTACTGAGATAAGCCACACAGTCCTTTGGGGAAAAAATCAAGTTTGCTCCAATCCTTACACCACACCCAGACAAATTTCAAATAAATCAAAGACTACTTAATTGAAAAAAATGAAACACTAAAGAAACAAGAAGAAACCATGAGGAAAATGTCTCATAACCTGGGAGTGTGGAGGTCTAACTATGACACTAAACAGGAAGCCATAAAATAAAAGATCGATCTTCAAATATATAAAAATGTGAAACATCCCTGCACAGCAAACATCACCATGAGCAAAGTTACACAATTCACAAAGGGCTAATTTATGAAGAGTGCCTACAAACTGCTATGAAACAAAGGATACGAACAGATAAAAGTCACAGAAAATAAAGCAAAACGTTCTTAAATATATGACAAGAAGTTTTCAGCCTCACTCAAAAATAAGAGTAATTAAAAATAAACTTACCCTGCAATTGGCAGAAACCAAAAAGTTTCATATACTGTAGGCAAGGCTGTGGGGAAACAGACAATTCCTACACCGCCAGGAAAGGAGTAAATGATCACAGCTTTAGAGGGTAAGCTGGCAACACCTACCAAATAAGGAATGCACAGCCCTCTGACCCAACAAATCTACTTCTACGAGTGTGCCCTTCTGGGAATGTGTGCGTACAACAATGTACATGATGGCCATTTATCGCAGCATCGTCCGTAACAGCAAGAAATTAGGCACAGACTAAATGTTCACCTACAACTGATGAAATAAATGACAGTACATCCCCATGATGCACACTACATAGGTACAAAAAAATAACATTCTTTATACGCTGATACACAACAATCATGAAGATGAATTAAGCATAAAACACAAGATGCAGGATGGGGTTCTGTATGCTGCATGAAAACAGAGACGTGGTCGATGCTGTGCACATACTGGCTTGCACTTGCACAAGTTATGTCTGGAAGGACACCCAAGAGACAGATGACATCGATGGTCCTTGAAGGGAGCAAGTGGGTGACTGAGGGACAAAGATGTGAGGGAGACGGTTCACTTTTTACGCAGCCAAACCTAGAAAGTCAGTTTTATAGGTGACTTCCAGAAACTTCCAACTCTTTGGTATGGAAAGAAGGATCTTGGACCAGGAGTCAGGGAAGCGGTCTTCTACTCCAGGCTCTGAAACTGGCTCCAGGTGGCCCTGGCTAGCTGATTTGTTCATTCTGCAAACGCTTGAGCACCTGCAAGAGGCCACGTCCTCCTCGTGTCAGGCAGACCTGCGGTGCATGGTGTCTGTAGGCAGTGTGCTGAGAGGCTGACATGGAGGTGGGGACATTTCCGAGAAAATAATTGTGTGTGTGTGAGGAACTGGTCAAAAGTTAGAGTGGTTGGAAGAGGTGGAAACATAGGTAAGGTCAGATCCCAGAGGGTCTGCAAGCCAAGGCAAGGAGGTTTTATTGTATCTAAGTGCGATAGGAAGCTATGGAAGGGCTGTAAGTAGAAGAGCATTACAATCTAACTTGTGTTTTTAAAACGTGACACTCCTGCTATGTAGAGTGTATCAGCAAGGAAACAGGCAGTATCTGCTGAAGTTACAAATGCACATGTTGGCCAAAATGAAGACTACACAAGTAGGGGCAGGTGAGATAACGTGGCTGAGACCAAGGTGGTGGCATGTGGATGCAGATGGAAAGAGTCTGTAGATGGACCAAAGATATACTCTGAAAGTGGCAATGGCACTAACTGGTACTGAATGAATGTGGGAGGTTCTCAGGCTGGATAGCTGGGTGAATGGAGGGGCCATTTCCTCTGATGGGAAAGACAGAAAAGAACAGGTTAGGTAAGAATGGAGTCTTGGGAGGGGGCATGTTGAGTTTGAGGTGCGAAGGATTCACGTGAAGATGCCAAACAAGCAGGGGAATATACTAGTTCAGAACTCAGAGAGGCTGCGCAAACAAAACAGGGGCGCACCAGAAAGCAGATGAGGTGGAAAGTCATGGAAATGATGACGGCCCCTAGGGCGAAAGTTCAAAGAGATCCCAGACCAGGTCTTGGAAGGATCAGCTTCAGAAGATGGCAGAAGAGCAGGAGCCTGCAGAGAGACGGAGAGAGCCCAGCCACAGAGGCAGGAGCAAAACCAAGAGTGCCTCGGAAGCCAAGCAAGGGAAGTTTCCAAAAGAAAAGAAGGCCAAAGGAGACCGATTAAACGAAGACAGAAAAGTGACGAGAGGTTTGGCAGCATGAAAAGTCCTCGGTGACTGGGGAAAGCAGCTTGAATGGAGTGGGGAGGACAGAAGCCAGAACTGGAGGGGCTTAGGAAGGAGGAAAAATAGCTGAACAAACAAGAAAGCTCTGGAAGTTTGGCTTGGAAGGAGGAATACAGCCATGCAGAGGCAGCACAGATGTAGAGAAAGCGAGATAAGCTAACACATGTGTGTCAATGCTGAGCGTAATCCAAGGGACAGGCAAAGAACAAGGAAACAAGGGAGGGTGAGGGAAGTGGGGAAGACGGCAAAGGAGCAATGGGTGCAGCATTCACCTGGAAGGGACGTATCTGAAGGGAGGGCACACGAAAGGGAGGGGCGCAGAAGCAAATACCTTTCTAGACACAACGAAGAAACAATGATGGATTTCCAAAGTCTCCAGGACCATTTCTGCAAATTGAGGTGTTAAGGACGCCTGGGTACCCAGTCTACTGGCTCACCTGGGTGTTGTGAGGACCAAAGGACAAAACGACATCAAAATATTTTAAGAGAAAAACAGGGTAGGGTATGGCCTTTAACTGATTTTGTGAGGCTGTCCTCTCACCTTGATACCCAAACCAGACAAGGACTGAACAAGAAGGGAAAGTTACAGGCCAGGCTCACTCACTAACATGGTCTCAAAGATCCTAAAAACAAATCTTAGCGACAAACAGAAACCAGCGACAAACAAAAAAGAAAATAACCAATTCAACAAACATCCGAGTGTCCACTAAGTGTCAGTCAGGTACAGTTCTAGGGCACGGGGGACACTGCGCTAAATAAACTGCTAAGAATCCCAGCTGTGAGGGAACTTATAAGAGGGGTGGGGGTGAAAGAAAACAGAAGAATAAACACAAGCACCATGGGTTTCATAGGTGCAGAGCACACGATGAGCGACAAAGGAATAAATAAAATAAATTCTCAAGGAAACACTGTATGAATCTCCATCTCCCCTGGGCCTCCTGAACAAGAGCGCTGCAGTAAGGAGGACCCACCTTCCTTCTCAGGAACGTCCGTCTTCGCGTCCCCTGCCTGGCTGGCTGAAGGCACATCGCTGCCGCCGCCCGCTTCCATGGTGAGAGCTGTCAGGAAGTCGCTGCAGGGAGGAAGGGGCCGAAAGGTGAGCAGGGCAGGGCCAGGGGCCTCTGGTGGCTTCGCCCCTCGGCGCGGCCGCGTTACCCGCTGCGGCACAGCAGGGGCCGAGAGCCAAAGGCCGTGGCCAGGTCAGGGAGAGGAAAAGGCGGCGCGGCGGCCACCGGGAAATGATCGCAGCCCAGGGGTCCCCGAAGACCTAGCGACACCAGGCCGGGGGCTGTGGGGGGCGCCGGCCGGCCCAGTCCCACCTAAACGCAGTCGGGCGGAGACAACGGAACTCCTAGCGCGCGGGCCCAAGTGCCGGGGCTCCGCTTGCCCCGGGCAGCCCCAACCTCCCTTCCACCCTAAGGGAGGCGCGAGGGCCCCTACGGCCCCCGGCGGCCCAGCTCCAGCCCAGGCCCCGCTCCGGGCAGCGCGTGGCCCCTCCCCGCCCGAGAACGGCGGCGCCGCGCGGTACCCCGCCCACGGGCCCGCCCGGGACCCCCAACCAGACCCTCATACCCCGAGCGGCCGATGGATGATTCGAGACGCGCCTCCGCCAAGGATTTAAACTCGGCGCGGGGTGCGCGGGGCGCCCATTGGTCCGTTTGAAAAGAGCTCCGCGGGGCTGCCGGGCGCGGTGCATCCTAGGGGCTGTAGTCCGACCGCCCGGAAGAGGAGCCCAGTGCGCACGCGCACTGCCTCCGCGCAGCGGATTGGCTCCGCACGGACGCCGACGCGCGCCCACCGGAAGTCCGCCCACCGCCCTGGGGGGCGCACTGGCCGGGAGCTGTGTCCCTTTGCTTCGGTGGCGGGCCGGGAACGGCGGATGGCCAGTTCATCTGTATGATTAAAATTGCCACCTAAGGGCGTTGATGTGAAGACTACACGTAATAGGTACATCCGCGTGCTCTGTAAAACTGCGTCAGTTACTATTAACACGGTAGTAAAAGGCGCAGCCAGCGCTAGGTGACCCGGAGACCATGAGAAAGAAGCGTCGCCAGAGCTGCGCAGCCTGTCTAGCCGGAGCGGGACCGTCGCCCTAGGCGGACTTCCCCACAGAAGAGGGGCTGAAGATGGCCAGAGGGCGTGGCGGAATCTGTCCTGGGCTTTCTGGGATCGGAGAGGGGAACCCAGAGGCAGGGGCCGCGTGATGAAGCCTGCGTTGGGGAGTACACGTTTGGGAAGCAGATAGGACGCCCCTGACCTGAGCGACATGGAGAGGCGAGCACAGGACTAGTAGACAAGTCAGTTGGTGGCAGTTTGAGACTGACCTCACTTGAGCCTTTGCCTGTGAGCCAGTTATCAATAATACCCACCTCAGGGGCTTGAGGGTCGAATGAGGGGCTCCACCAGGGCAAAGTGTCACTAAGTGGTAGCTCATTATCCAGGACAGATGGAGAAGGATGCAGGTGGGCGCCTGAGATGACTCATAGGGTGTGCCCTAGGAAGGATGGAACTTTGGGAAGAGAGCACCATTTTCAGGGATGATGATGAGCTATTTATTTGGGGCAGGTTGAAGGGCCAGCAGAAACCCCGGGACCAGGGCAGGAGCCTTCTAGGCTGGCTGGGGCCACTTCCAGGCTCCCACGTCCCTGGGTTTGCACCATCCACACCAATCACCCCATGTTGCTGTGGTCCTTCACTTCTGACCCCAAGTCTAGCTCCGCATGAGACTGAGCTCTTAAAGGGCACAGCACGTCTCACTCGCCACTCTCCCCGGCCTCACCCAGCCCAGCACGGGGCACCAGGCAGGGGCTGAGTGAGCTGGGTAAGGTGGGGTGGTCAAGTAGCTTGGGGGGAGTTTGGCTGCCCACTGCATCCCCCCCTTGGCTTGTCCTGGGAATGTCTGCTGGGGAGGGGTCCCCAATACCCACTCCTGATGCTCTTCTCCCTGTATTGTGTCAGCATGTAGTAGTTCAGTAAACAGCACCAATGATTAATAACTTGCCGTTACTCTGTGTCTTCACTCCATCACTCTGTTCTCCTGACTTCCTCTTTTATCACTGGCCCATCTATTGTAGATTCATTTCTTCCTTCCCCCAGTAAAGTTCTACTTCATATATTTATGCATTCATTCACCAACTTGCACTGACAGCTACTCAGTGCAGGCCACATGCTGGGTGATACTGGGTACACTGATGCTGTCCCTGACCTGAGGAAGTCACAGCAGGGGAGAATGGTGCTATAGCAAGGGCAGGTGCCAAGGGCTGTGGGCACAGGGGAGGCACCCTCTCCAGCCTGCAGTGGCAGTTGGGTGGGGGGTAGAACCAGGGTTCCCTCTTCCTTGGCCAAGTCATGTCTTGATTGCAACCAGGGGAGGGCAGGGAGGTCCCACTTGGGATGTGTCCCGAGCTCCTGGGTATAGACGGCACCTCACTTGAAAGCCTATTGTAAGTACCCATTTTCTTGCCTCGCTGCCCACACCCCCAAGTTCATGGAGAAGCCCATCTCCCGGCCTGGCACGTAGATGCTCACAGGTGCCCACAAGAGCTAGTCAAAGGAACCGAGTATTTTAATCCCAGGAGTTTGCCTGGGCTTCAGCAAACTTGGGGACCTGACAGATTAGGAGGCTTCCTCTCCCTCCCAGGAGACATGCCCTCTCCCTGCCCCAGTGAATGCCTACCTAATTTCTCAAGGAAAGGAACCTGAAAAACATCTTCACACTGGGACACGCCCCCCCACCCCCATGGGAAGGCTGACAGCAGCACGACTGAGTCAGCACGTCCAGAAGGGACCTCCGGCGAGTTAACCACAGGAAGCAGGAGACAGAGGCAGCGTTCATAAGACCAGCTCAAATCCTGTTATAGCCACATGTCATAGTACTTTGGTTTTTGCCACAGCAGAGCAGCCCTGAGCTCAATCCTCACACCCCAGAAATGCACATACATTCAATTCATGTGATTAAAATCATAGTTGACCAAAGCATGTACCCGAGGCCTCCTTACAGTGTGCAATTTAAAAAGAGAAACAAGTCCAGATCAGCACCACCAAAGCCCCCAGGGAGGCTCGAAGACTTCCCTCAGAGGCAGCAGAAAGGGCAGTGCTTGTTCATCTGTAAGGAGGGCAGTGGGGGCATCCTGGTGGGGAGGCTGCCTCCATGGCCTTGTCTGGAAGACCCTCCTCCAGCTGGGTCTGCCCCAGCCGTGCCCTGCCCTCCAACCTCTGAATGACAGGAAGTAGAAATGTTTCTCTGGGAAAACAGTTTGCGAGGCAAGTGGAAAGACCAGCTCCTCCACTGGCTCTGACTGCTTAAAAATGCACATTGGCCCCCAACAAGCACTAGAGGATCCTGAATCATATTTAAAATGAATTTGTGACCCCACTCCCCGTAAAAATGTTGGTTTTCAGGGCTTTCTGCTTAAGGCTGGAGACCCCCGTCTAACAGCCTCACGAACAGGCTCTGGCTGTTTCCTGCCCCTAACCCAGTGCAGCAGCCGAGCGGAGCTGGGGAGGCCACGGCAGGGGTTCTGCAGGGTAGAGGCAGCCGGTCCGGCTCACTGCATGAGGTGGACAGTGGCCGCCTTGCGGATGAGCCGCTCAGTCAGGGGCGAGTTAGGCTTCAAGGCGTCCCGCTCCATCAGAAGGCTCCTGAGGAAACAGTTTCTGTTGTAGAACCTTCTAAAAGGATTCGGGGCCTGGCGGTTTCTAGGCCCCAAGTTGAGACACGGGCAGCCTGGGCTACAGCAAGGAGGGAACAGGATGGGCCAAAGCCCAGAGGCAAGAGGCCTGGCCTGGGCTGGGGCAGGGGGAAGGGGAGAGAGCTCAGACCTCCAGAGCCACGTCCAGGTACAGCTGGCAGGAGGAGAGCCAGGACACCCAGGTTGGAGAGCACTCTGACTGTCTTAAAGATAAAGACTAGAAACCCTGTGATGCCAAAAGAGACCAGAATTCCAGGGTGTGGATGTCACAGTGGCCTTGTCTGCCTCGGGGAAAGCCGTGGCTCAAGAACTTATAGCTCACCCTTCTGCCCCAGTGCAATGCTGGGGACAAGAGGGACGGGGCAGGAGGGTGGTGTGGGGGGGTGGGCAGGAAGCCACACCTGGGACTGGTCCAGGAAAGCAAGTGGCAGCGGCAGGTGTGGGGAAGAAACCCAGCTTGAAGCAAGTAAAAGCAGTGGGAGGCAGAGGCCCTGCTGTGCACTGAATTTTTGTGTCCCCACTCATGTGGAAACCCAAATCCCAGGGAGATGGTATTAGGAGGTGGGGCCTTTGGGAGGTCATTAGGTCATGAGGGTGGGGCCCTTGCGAATGGGATCAGTGCCCTTGCAAGAAGAAACATGAGAGAACTAGCTCTCAGAGGAAAGGTCGTATGAGGGCACAGCAAGAAGGTGGCTGTCTACCAGCCAGGCAAAGAGGCCTCACCAGAAACTCAACCCTGCTGGTTGGGCCTGGGAGTGGGGGCCAGCTGGGTCCCCTTGGCCAGGTTGAGCAGTGACAAAGGAGAACAAATTCCCCTGCAGCCTCACGCCTTCACAACCTCAAAGCGGGAACCACCTCAGCGGAGGGAGCTGGGAGCCTCCACGCACTCCGGCGGTCCCTAGGGAGACCCCGTGTGGGAAGCGGGTGTGCTGGGAAGGGGGCGAAGAGCTCACCGGGCCACGTTCTTATGGACGCTGGAGGTGCAGTTCAAGGCCGCGTGAATCAGTAACTGGTTGAAGACATCTCTCTGAAATGTCAGTTGGGCGAGTGAGGCTCCTGAAAGGCGGGAAGGGATGGGAGCCCCCACCCGCGGTGGCTGCCTGCCCTTCTCCTGGGGAGTGGCTGTGAGAGATACGGACACTCCCACATCGTGGGCACCAGCACCCTGGGAGAGACGTGGGGGCTGCTGGGCACACAGGCTCCTGACCCAGGCCCCTTGGGCTCCAGCTGATGGCTGCGCTGGGGGCGGCCGCCTCACCTGCGCGTTGCTGCCTCCGATCTGGACGATCCGGTAGCGGATGGGCAGGAGCAGTTCCACGACGCGGTCGGGGTTCCCATCCTCAGCCTCCACCAGGGCCTGACACAGGGGCAACCCCACGTCTCGAGCCAGGACGTGCTGACAGTTCTCCCCTGGGGATCTGACAACCCGAGAGAGCGCCCTCAACAGCCTGCGCTGCCACAGTGTAGCAGTGGGGGAGGGGCATTTCCCACGCGGCAGGTGTCCCAGCGTGGTGCTCCGCAGCAACCGTAAGGGCTGACATGACTGGGGAAAGGCAGCCCGGTAAGAGGGGAGAACAGGGCTCCGAACTCAGATCTGGGTGAGAGTTGGCCCGGGTAAGGTCCCCCACCTTCTGGCCTCAGTTAGCTCAACTGTAAAGTGGGCCTAACAGGACAACCTCCCAGAACTGTCAGGACCGGAGGCAATGCAAGTAAAAGTCTGGCCCTGAAAGCCAAGGACAGCAATGCCACCAGGAGGGAATGGCTGTGGCAGCCCAGGTCTCCCAGGCCAGGTCCCACCAACCCTTGGCAGGCACCATTCCTGATTTACAGATGAGGAAACTGAGGCTGAGAGCAGAGAACTTCCTTGTCCAGGATCTGCCTGTACACAGCAGGTACCTCTGGTTCCAGGGCCCCATTGTGTCCCCCGCCATGGGAAGCTGCCCTGTGACACTGAAACTCTCATACCCACCCCAGGGATGGAGAGGCAGCTCTGTGTCCTGGAGGAACCAACTATACCCCTGGGGTCGCGCTCTTGTGTGACACAGGGGCACACCTTGGGGCAGACACCGGGGAACAGCCCTCCATGGGAACCCCCAAAGCTGCTCTCTCAGGTGGGGCCTCCACCCCCAGCCTCCCTGGCAGGCACGGGCAGGCACCGAACAGGCGTCGGCACGGCATGGGACCCTCGCCCTCAGCCTGACGAGGGCTCCTCCACGTACTCGCTGGCGTCCCGCAGGGTGGTCAACAGCTCCCGTGTGGTCTGGGAATCCCGTGCGCCCAGGGACGCCATCAGGAAGTGGGCGTCATTGAATAGCAGGACATGGTCTTGGCTGTGCTTCCGGGTCACGGGCAGGACGTCTTGCCACCGCTGGCCCACAGACACCCCTGAGGACAGGAGGAGGGGACCCGGCCCGGCGTGAGGCTGCAGGGCATGTCCTGCCCGTGGGACTCCTGCCCCACACAGCCCTCGGGGCCCCATGGTCTGCCGAGGCCTGTGGACTCCCCGTTTATGTTAACTTCGTTTAATTATAAAAGCAACAGATGCATAAGGTAGAAAGCAAATTAAAAAAAAAAAAAACTACTGAAGGTTATTAAACGAAGTCTTCGACCCTTCTGACAAACCCCGAAAACTTTTTAAACGTCCCTGTGGTTACCTCGAGTCCAGCACCCGATACGTCACAGGCACTTGGTTAGTCTGTAGAGTTAGTAGCGAGCGTCTGTCCCCCTTTGTGTCTGGACTTCCCAGCTCTGGACTGTCGCTGTGTCTGCACCACTCTCCAGCCAGTGCCACCTCCCACCTGCCTGCCCGCGACTCCTCCATAGCCGTCCACATTGCCCTCAACCTCATTTCTCACCCACTAAACTAGACGGCGGCTCGTGTGCCCGCTCTGCCCGGTGAGGAAACCAGTGGCTTCTTCCCTCACTCGCCCTCAGCAGCCCCTCACCTCTTGCCCTTCCTCACCTCGGCTCACACCTGCCCTGAGGCAGCCCAGGCCTGACGCTCCAGAAAGCTCCAGGCGGATTTCACGCTCTCTGCCTCTGCAGGCAAAGGGCTAACGGGGTCTCAGGGTCAATGGGACTCAACCTTCCCTCAGGGGCTCCCTCTCCATGCAGTTCTGGACAGTGTTTGGCAGGACAAGAGACACAGGCCTCCCATCAGCCCCGGGTTCTGCTTCTAGGGCTAGAAAATGGAGTAGCAGCCTCCTTCTGGGTCCTCCGGCCTCCCCGTGGCCCTCCTCACAGACCCCCTGGCCTCTCTGCCAACTTCACGGCCTCCTCGCCGCTCTCAAGGGGCTCTGGCTCAGCCTGCCCGGTGCACGGGTGGGCTTCCTGGCTCCTGCCTCTCAGCCTCCTCCTGCCCCAGCCAAGCACATGGAGCTGCCCTCCAGTCACTCACCCCGTAACAGGCTGCTGATGTGTGACCTAGTGGCTTTGGACAGGCTGTTCCCCCGTGTGTAACATCCCTTCTTCTGCCTGGCAAACCCTACCTGTCCTTCCATGGTTCACATTTCACCTCCACTAGGAAGCGTTCCTGAAACCTTCCAGAAGCAGCTTGCCGTGCCCTCCCTCAGGTCCCTGAACTGTCCTGCCCAGGCCTGCATCCCACATTGCAGTTCTGACCCAGGGCCTCGGCCAGGCCCTTGTGGGTACGGGTTTGGCTCTGTTGAGCCTTCGGTCAAGGGGTGAGCCACCTGGCACCCCCGCAGTGGGCTGGAGCCCTCCACTGCCCAGAGCTGTGGCTGCGCCATCCAGCCTACGCAGAGCTCTGCGCCTCGCAGAGCACGGCGAGGTTGAGAAACCTTCCGCAAAGCCAGGGAGTTGAGAAACACCCCATGTTCTAGGGAAAGAGGCAGCATCAAGACAGGTGGCCAGGTGCCATCTGTGCCCCAAAGGCCTGGCGGGCAGACCGTGGGAACGGCAAGTGCCACCCTGGGCACAAAGCCGGAGACCTTCACACCAAGGAGTGGTGGGAACTGGCAGAAAGGGCAGCGGGCCCGGCTGGGAGCACTGTGGCACCCAAGACGGCAGCCAGACAGCCCGTCCGAAGCCTGTGGAAGGCCCTGGAGCAGCTCTCCCATGAGCTCTTGCCCAGCCCTGGGCCTGGGCCACAGCACCTCCCCTCACAGCGTGGGAGGAAGGAGGCAGGGGCCAGCGGGAGTGTGGAGACGGCGCTACCTTCCATCTGCAGGCGGTAGAGCATGGAGCAGCTGTCCACCACGTCCAGCATTGTACCGCTGGCCCGCAGGCTGGGCAGGATCTGGAAGACAAGGGCCGCCCAAGGCCAGGCTCAGAGGTGACCTGCACAGAGCAAGACCTCAGCAAATGGGGGCCATCACCATCCCCCCACCCCAACAGTCAGGACTGTCCCCCTCACCCAGGGCTCAGGCTGCAACAGGCACCAGAAGGGGCACTGGATAGATCTAAGAAAGAGCCCCCTGCACTGCACACCGGGGAACGTGCCGGGACCAGGCATCTGTCACCTCCCACTCCGACACCATGCCGGCAGGAGACTCGCCTGGCCCGTTCATGCTTCTAGATTCAGCTTTGTTCAGCAGGTTACTCTGAGCACATGGTGCCTATCACCCTTCATTTCTTACTGCGGCATCCTGACAATGCTGGGTTACTTTACGGGAACTTTACTGTGTGCTTTTCTCTGATGTTTAGATCCCAAATCACAAGCATTTCTGGGGTCCCAGGTTTTATCATTAAGTCCTCACTGGGGTACCTGGGAGCTGTGAGTCAGGCTTTTTTCCTCTCAAAAGAATACCCAGGGGCCAGGCGCAGTGGCTCACGCCTGTAATCCCAGCACTTTCAGAGGCTGAGGCAGAAGGATCACTCGAGGTTACGAGTTCAAGACCAGCCCCGGCAATAGCAAAACCCTTATCTCTACAAAAAAACTGAAAAATTAGCTGGGCATGGTGGCGTGCACCTGTAGTCCCAGCTGCTGGGGAGGCGGAGGCAGGAGGATCACTAAGCCAAGGAGTTGGAGGCTGCAGTGAGCTATGATGACGCCGCTGCACTCGAGCCTGGGAGACAGAGTGAGACCCTGTCTCAAAAAAACAATAAATAAAAGGAACACCCAGGGGCCGGGGGAGTTAGTGTGCAGTGGGTGTGGAGCTTCAGTTTGGGAAGATGGACAAGCTCTGCAGGTGGAGGGTGATGATGGTCGTACAACAATGTGAATGAGCCCAATGCTGCAGAGTACACTTAGTCTTTTTACGTATATTTTATCAAAATAAAAAGAATTCCCATGGGCAAATCAATTACCTGGCGATCTAAAAGGACTAGAGCAAAGTCTGCAATTGTAGAGATGGTCCACTTAGATGTGTAAATCTATCAGCACCTGTCACCAGAATGTCCCCACCACATACAGGGTTAGAACGCTGTTTTTGGCAAAAGCCAAGCCCAGGGGGTCTTACGCAAGCAAGAAACATGTTCTTGCTGCAGCTGTCTGTTCTGGCTGGGACAATCCTGATGGACTCAAAGATCTATCGAGACTACAAGGCAAAGTGCTGCAGTAAAGCACGCAGGGTCGACACAGACTTACGTGGTTATCAAAAACGGTCAGCGCGGCCTCGTATTCGCCCTGGAAATAAAGTCGCCGTGATTACCATCTGGAGAAGGCAAATGTAACACTGGGAAAGGAACTGTGAATGCTCGGGCAAAGCCCCCTGAGCACATGACCCCGACCTCCTGCAGAGGGGCATGGGCAGTGCCCGGGGGCGTGGGTCTCAGGATGGGGGCAGGCGAACCCACTTCCTCCAGGCTCTGCGCTCCCCCGCGGAGAGACAGCAGAGGCCTGGTGCTGCCTGCCGAGGGGACAGTTCCTGAGAAACATTATTTTTCCTATTAGAAATGTGAATGTAAATACTGCTATATTAACTGCTGTGAGCGTTTTTATGTATTTCCTTCTAGTCTTTTGTTTCTCTACATATATGTTCCCTACTCTACATTCAGCTAGGTCCACTGCTTCCTTCCAGACATTGTGTAGTCACGTTCTTATGCCACAACAGGGTCCTCCTGTTCCAAGCATCTCTCTCTAGACACGCAGGGAGCGTCCAGTTTTTCTCTATGATAAAGAACACGCAAGAGACACCCCTCACAGATGGAATCCCTGGGTCCAGGGTGTCCCGAGCAGCTGCCCTGGCTCCTGTGGGAGGCTGTCACGGCTCACGCGAGTGCGATGTGGGTGAGGGCTCGGCTGGCTACTCCAGCAGCAGAGGGGCACTGAGTCCAAAAGATGTCCACAAATCATACACAGTAGATGTGATTTCCAAGTCCTAACAGTGACAAAATGCCCCCAGCAGTTCCAGCCTGGAAAGCCCTTTGAAAATGTTCACGCTGCATCGCACCGGGCTCCCTTTAAACACGCAAGCACAAGACACTACTCCAGGGATGCGAACAAAGAGCAAAAGCTAGAAAACTATTTCTTCCTCTGGACATCTCTGCAGGGAAGACAGCGCAGATGGTCACCTTACCTTTTCGATCAGATATAAAGCCCAGTGCCAATAATTATGACAAGCAAGCATGTCAGAGTCCTGGGGAAAGAGCAAGAGAATTAAAAAAAAATCTGACGGCCTGTGGGAAAAAACACAAGTGTTCTTTTGTACTAACGTGGGATCCATCATCTCTGAGTGCAGGAACATTTACTGGGCACCGCCCGTGGCCGGCTGTGCCGGGCAGCTCCGCACCACTTTAGCTCCAAGGGGCGGCCACCACTATGTCTGAATTTGCCCAGGGGAAACTGAGGCAGAGGGCGGCCGCTAACTTGCTCGCCTAAGCCAGAAAGCAGCAGCACCAGGACCAACACAGAGCAAGTTACTTCAGCAACCGAAGCTTCATCTTGTTCACGTGTGAGCCGGGAAAAGGAGTAACAGAGCCACTCCACGGAGAGTCCTGAGGACCACGGCGTGCCCCAGCGGCTCAGGGCACTCGCGTAAAACCGTGAGGATCAACTCCAGCAGGCGGCGGCCCAGCCGGCAGCGTAAGGGAGCGGAGCTGACGTTCCGAGGGTTACGTGGGCCGCCTCTCAACGTGCGGCAGTTTCCCAGTAAGGCCTGTGCCTGGCTCAGAGCTGGCTGCCGCTAGGGTATTCCAAGTTTGGGAAACTAGACTCATGGTCCCTGGCGGGCGACAGTACTCGGCACCCAGAAACCTAAAACAAATCCCGCTGGTCGAGAGGAGGGAAGCTGCCCCCTGACACAGGTGAATCTAGAGGCCTGAGGGTCTCTCCCTCCTGCCCGCGGGCCAAGTACACACCCTCCCCGCACTCAAGGCTTCATTTCTCACAGACCCCAAGCACACAGCAGGTATTCAGTAAATGCCAAGCAAGTGACATGGTGTTCCCACCTGGCGTCCCTGTCCCAGGGGAGGCTCCCTCTCCCTTGAGACCACTGAGCTCACCTGCCCCAGCCCACCTCTGTCCAGAGGGCCCAGCCCCCACCATAACACCAGCCCTTCCTCCTCTGAGGCCTCTGCAGTCAGTTCCTCCTCCTGGACACCACCTGCCTGCCCTGGAAAGAGGAACTGACGATGCCTCCTGCACAGCCCAGGTCTGCCCTGCACCTGGGCTCGAGGACACCACACCACCCGGCTCCCCTCTGCCTCACAGGCTACCATAGGCCTTCGTGTCTTTGCTCGAGCCGGTCCTGGGCCGGGATGCTCTCCATCTCCCCCTTCTCTGTGTAGCAAACACCTACTCATCCCTCAGTACCGGATCAGAGGTCGCCTCATCCAGGAAGCCTTTCCTGACCACTGCCCCCCAAAGCCCGCTTGGGTTTGATGCCTCCTCTGGGTTTCCACATCCCCAAGGGTGTCCCTGTCATGGTGTAGCTCATGCGCTGCCAGGAGGCTGCTCTTTCCACTTTAAGAGCCCTGCAAGGACAGAGAAGTCCGGGCTGGACCCAGGCTGGGGTGGGGCACAGGCCTGGGCAGGGACTAGAGCCTGACTGAGCTCCAAGCTTGCAGCCAAATGCCTGAGGCGGGCACAGGAGGAGGTGGACGGGGAGCCCCAGGCTGTCTTGTCCACACCCAGGGACATTCAGCCAGGCTGGACAAAGGCCACCAGCAGCCATGCAGGTGACAGATGAAGATGTGAGAGGATGACAGCCTGTTCTGAGATGACCCCATCCTCAGCCGCCCACGATGGGCACTCGTTTGGGGCCAAGGGCTCCACAGATATGGCAACAGATGAGGAAACTGAGGCTCAGAGTGATCAAGTTCCACCCAGGGTAGAGCCAGGCCTCAAGCGCAGGCGTCGCTGGCCACACAGAATCAGCGTTCCAGGGAGGAGAGTGATGCCTGCCAGTGCTGCGTCCGCCAGGCCTCCCGCTCCCCGGTCCTGCCTGGGCAAGCCCTTGCCCCTCAACCGGGAGGCAAGGCCACACCAGCTCACCCTGAGCCCAGACCAAGTGCTCCCTCCGGCAAGAACTAACAGTGTCTGCCTGGGGGTCCAAGATTGCCAATGCCCCCAGGACCTTTCCAGTCCCAGTGCCTGCGGACAGATGTCATGGGAACCTCACGCTCTCAAACACCTGCTTTACCTAAGACCACTCCCGGAGAGGCAGGAACCTGCCTCCGTGTAAATGCATCTTGCTGCGAGTGCCCCGGGCCGGGGAGCTGCTCGAGCGATGCCGGGGATGCTGGCTCCTCCGCTCCCGCTCTCCTTGATTCGCACACTCACATCACTGAGCACCTGCCTCTGGTGCCAGGCCTGGGAGAGACTCGCCCCCTCAGCCCCCGGTGGCCTGGGGAGCCCACCATGGCATGGAGAAGGGCAGGGCAGCGACCCCACCTGGACAGGTGCCAGGCTGTGCGCCAGAGGCCAGCCCTGGGACAACAGGACCACACGGAGGAGCAAGGGCCTCCAGCGCGATGGGGGAGGGAAGGAAAGGCCCTCAGAGGGCATCGAGCGGGAGCGGTGCTGGGCAAAGTCGGGCAGCAGGGTGGGAACAGTGAGGCCACAGCGTGGTCAGGCCCCAGGGAAGCACCCCTCCCCGACAAGGCCCTGGCCCTGCATGCCAGCGCTGCAGGCCATCACTGCGCCAGCGCCCCCACAGACCTCCCTTCCGGCTGCGCTGTGCCACCCTGAGGCGCCGCGGCTGCACGCTGAGCCCCGGCAGGAAAGGCAGCTCAGGGGCTCACGGGCCTTGTCCCGCCACGCTCGGTTCCCAGTAATTTCCTGACCTGTTCCTTTCACAGCCAGATGCCTCAGTCCAAGACCAATCCTAGAACTCCCTGCAAAATGCCAGGAGACTGGGGAGCTGTGGGGCTCTCAGGGGACGCTACGGCACGACACGCCTCCAGGCTGAATGCAAGTTCCCCGAGAACCAAACCACAAACCAAACCACACCCGTAACTCCTGTCCACAAAGCCGCAGCCTGACTCAAGGTGACGCACTGACTCTTCCAGGGAGAGGACCCGTGGGCCGGAATCGTACCTTCCAGTGGTTCTCTGAGCGCTGCATGAACTCCAGCCCCTCCTTGAGCTCTGCCTTCATCTCGTGGATGTGGGCGACGGTGTGCACCGACCACGCGTCTGTCGGGTTAATGGCCAAGGCCTAGGGGGGTGGGCGGGAGGAGTCGGGAGGGTTAGTCGGACTGCCTGGCCGGGACACGCCTGTCTGAGGGGTGACAGGGGCCCGAGCTGGTGGCGGAGAGAGCGTGGGGACAGGGCTCCAACTCAAAACCGTCACCATCCCAACGACCGGCACCGTGTCCCGTGCACCCAGGGCTCACCAGCTTGGGACACCAACCACAGGACGCTGCCATGCAGGGTCTCACTGACATTTCACAGACGAGAAAACTCAGGCTCAGGGAGGCTAAGTGACTTGCCGAGGGCCACACAGCTCGATGGCAACATGGTCTTTCCAAAGCCAGGGCTCGTCCCCTGACCCCACAGCCTCCTATAGATAGCTGAGTCACATGCGACATGCCGCCCAACCTCTCTGGGCCTCAGTTTCCCCCTGGTGGAGGGGTCACTGACTCTGCCTTCCCTTGGAGAAGTGGCCACTGTCCACACGAGCACAGCGTGGACTGTTAATGCTCCAGTGGGCTGTGGCTGCTGCCTCGTCCCACCAGCACACATGCAGTGACTACACACACGGCTTTCTGGGCTCAGAAACGGCTGGCTCTGACATCATGGCTATGAGTGACAATTGCCATTCGCTGACCCTTGAGTTTGACAGTGACGAGAGATGCAGGCAGGATACATGGAATGCTCCTCACTTCCTAGCAGTTTCGTTCTTCTATTTGTTCAGCTCGTGTTTGCTGAGTGCCTACTAAGTGTCAGGCGCAGAGCAGTAAACTGAGGCTCACAGAGGTCCCCTAGACTGGCCCCTGCCCAGGTTCCCCCCCACCAAATCATGGGTTCCCCTCAGCCCTGCTGCCTCAGTCTCCCACACCCTTCGCAGGTGTCCAGCAGCCCCGAGCACCTCTGCCCTGGCCTGGTGCCTGCTGCAGGGTTGTGGCAACAGGTTGTCCCCAGCAAGCCCCGCAGCCCTGCTCCCACCCTCGGCTTCTTGTGGGCGCTGCCTGCTGCACACGGGGACACGGAGAGAAAGAAGGCACGTCTTCAGGGGACTGTGGGCACCCCCAGGCAGTGAGCACAGGACACTTGGAGAGACTACGGGGCACAGTTTGAGCAGGTTAGGCACTGGGGCTCGAGAAGGGATCCCCCCCTAAGCTGCTGCTTTCACACTGGCAGAAGCAGATGTGAAGGGCTGCGGCTACCGCCTCTCTGAGACGCTGACCAACTTCCTCCCTCTCTTGGAGGCCTCCCAAGCTTCCCTGGGAAAGTCCGAACTGGCTTCCTGGGACACAAGGCCCAGACAAATTGGCCCCTGCCTGTCCCTCTCCAACCCTGGCTCCTGGCACCCCCTACACCCTAAGCCTCAGCCCATGAAGCCACTCGGAGCTCCAGGTCCCTGAGCTCCATGGCTGTGCCTTTGCCCACTGCTGCCCGGCTAATGGTCCACAGCTTCTCCTGCCCCTCGCTGGCCTGGGACTACAGACACACACCACGAGTTGTCACCCTGATACCACGATAGCCTGGTCTTCTTGCTGTTGTCTGTGGGGTGCTGGTGTTGGGTCAGAGAGCGGGCACAGGCAGGAGGAAGCAGGAGCACCAATGCTTCTCACTCCTGAGAGGCATGAGCCTGCATCTTCTGGCCTCCCCTGGGGCACCTGCCGCTCGTGGCTCGCCACAGCTGCCACGTCCAGAGCTTCGCCAGCCGTCCCAACAGCCTTCAGAGCCCAGATGGATGCCCCCTAACAGGGGGGTCCAGCTGCGATGGTCTCCGAGGGACCTTCCTGCAGCTGACCCCCGGATGGCAGTGCCTGGTCACCCAGGCCATGAAGGCAAGATCCCCAGGATCTACCCAGGTCTCCACCAGCCCTGCCTCAGAGCTAAAGCAGAGAAGCACCCACGCTGAGCCTCGAGTCTGGGCTCCGATTCTGTAATCAGAACAGTGTTCAGAGACCCCCTGGGCCCCACGGGCTTTCTCCTGGGGGGTGCTGCAGGCTATCGAGGGCAACTTCTGGGGGAAAGAGCCCCGGCTGGGTTGCCGGGAAGCCGGGGTCTAGCCCGGGCAGCTTAAAGGACAGCCACCGATCAGGTGGCCTGGGTGACAATCCGGCTCTGCCATCTCTGAGCTGTGTGGCCTTAGGCACTCTTTGGCCTCTCCCTGAGTCCCTTATCCAGGACAACGAGAAGTCGTGTGGACACAAGCAGGCGTATATAAACTGCCAGCACCAAGCCCGGCATGGGAGTGTTTGTTACTCCCGTATGCATGACGGCCCCTCCCTGGGCCTCAGTTTCCACTCCTGTGAGAAGAGGAGAGGAGGGGAGGGACTCCCAGAGCTGGTGACAGCTCACACACTGACAGCCGCAGGCTGCCACTTGGTCCTGGGCCCAGCGTGCCCACCAATCACCAAAATTGGCAATCGTTGCCCAGATCACTGAACCTCGGGTGCCGTGGGTGATGCTAGAGACGTGAAGTTCAAGGAGGAAGACCCAGTGTGTACGTTCGCTTCCCACCAACGTTCCTGTCCCACCAGACAGGGCTGCCACTCTCCGCAGCCCACAGTGAGGCGACCGCAGCCTTCCTGACCCTCACTGTCCTCGTCTGCAGATGCGGAACCACTGGCTAAGGAGCGTGGCCCTGAGGACCTTGGGAGGCACACGAGTGACAGACACTCGGCAAGCCCCAGGCAGGCGGCAGCTACCCACGTTAACAGGACCTCTCCCCGGAGTCTCCGAGGAAACGAGGCCCAGAAGTGGGGTGACTCACCGGGGTCCCTGAAGGGTCGGGCACCTCAGGAAGGGCCCTCTTACCTCTTTGGCGAGTTTTTCTGCCTGATCGTAGAAGTTGGTTTCCATCAATCCAAAGGAATAGATGCCTTTCACGTAGCTGAAAATGAGAAAAAGCATCTCAAAATACAAAGATGGACTGTGGTAGCAGGTTGAACCATGTCCCCCCAAGAGATGTGCTGAAGTCCTAACTCTCAGCAGCCGTGAATGTCACCTTTTCTGGAATTAGGGTCTTCACAGATGTAATCAAGTTTAGACACATTCGCACTGGACCAGGGCGGCGCTAATCCGATAGCCAGTGTCCCTAGAAGAGGCCGTGTGAAGACATGAAGACGCAGAGACAGGGAGGGAGGACAGCAGGTGGACTCTACGTCACAGTGAGGCAGCTGCAGGCCAAGGAACGCCACGGCGTCCAGCCACCACCAGGAGCTGGACGAGGAAGAGTGGATCCTCCCCCGGAGCATCTGGAGGGAGCCAGCCCCGCTGAGACCTCGATTCGAAGTTCTGGCCTCCAAAACTGGAAGTGGATCAATGCTGCCCAAAGCCACCCAGTTTGCTGCACTGTGTTACAGCAGCCGCAGGAGACCGATACACACCCTAACCCCGTGCCAAGTTCTGTGCTTCTCAGCGTCTCAAGGCTTCCGATGGGTGAGGGGCAAAGTGAATGGCATCATCCATGCAGCCATCTCCAAACCCAGTGGTGATAGCATCCCCCCTCCTAAGAATCAACACAGGGTCTTTGCTGAGGATGACAAGGGTCCTCTCCCTCCTGTCTGCCTGGTGACACCACTCAGAGGCCTCGCCCAGGATCACCTCCCTGGGAAGTCTTGGTGACCTAAGGGCTGGCAGTGGCTCCTCCTCTGTGTCCACAGCACCGTGCACGGCCCTCTGCCCAGCCTGGGCTGCACTCGGGGGACGCCCAGGCCCCTCCCCAGCCCCAGACCTCCTGCAGGCCGGGCCCTGTCCGGCAGCTCACTCTCTAGCCCAGACGAACACGCTCTGCTGAATAAACGCGGACTTCCATTTCTCATCTGTAACCACTGGCACCTGAGTGTCCCAGGCGGCCACACATGAAAGAGGTGCTTTCTCCTGTGGTTTTTGGGGTTTAGTGAAGACAAGACAGAGCAATGGTGTTTCTACTTGAGACTGAGATGTTATCTTTATTACTGTGGCTCCTGTTACTCACTGAAGCAGTGTTCTAGAGCAGTAGCTTCCGGAATTATCTTTTTTCTTTTTTTTCGGCATTTATTGAGTGCTTACTGGGGTCATTTAACCTTCAACATCCAAACATTTATTGAGCGCTTACCGTGTGTCAGGCACTATTAGGCTCTTGTGATGGTACATTTTATGTATCAACTTGGCTGGGCCATCGTACCCAGCTGTTCGGTCAAACGCCAGTCTAGGTGTGGCTGTGAAGGCATTTTTTTAGGGTGATTCACATTTAAATCCGTAGACTTTGAGTAAAGCAGATTGCCCTCCTGTGTGGTGGGCCTCGTCCAATCAATTGAAGGCCTTAGAGAAAAGGCTGAGGTCCCCAGGGGTTTTGCCTGCAGCTGCCCTCAGACGCAAGACTGTGCTGCTGACTGCCGCAGGCATCTCCAGCCTGCTGCCCTGTGCTACAGACTTTGAACTTGCCAGCCCCGCAATCACGTGAGCCAATTCCTTAAAGTAAACCTGTCCATTTCTCTCCCTCTGTCTGTCTCTCTCTCTCTCTCTCTGAGAGACACAGACACTATTTATTGGATCGGTTTCTCTGGACAGCCCTAACTAACACAGCTCTTCAGTCTATGAGCCTGTTTGAACCCACAACCATGATTAAGACGCAGCGGAGTCCATCACGTGTGGTGGTCACTGGGGCTGTCCAGAGACACCCCAGGCCTCCTCTCTTCCCAAGCACAACGTACAACTGTACTTCCTGGTCTCCTGTGGGCGGGTCAGGTCGTGTGGTCAGTTCTGGCCAAAGACTCGGGGGTGGCAGGTTATTCCTGTCACTTTGAGCCCTTAATGGCCATTGTGAGCCCCCTCACTTTTCCCTCTGGGCGACGGTACATCAGAGGGCAGTTGCCACATCAGCTAGGACCCTGGAGGGGGACGGGACATGGTCACAGATCCCTCAGCCCTCCTGAGACAGCCATGTCGCATGGGTGAGAAATAAACCTTTGCTGTAACAGCTCTGGGGAAGAAAATCCAGCAATGTTTGTTACTGCAACAAAACAACCCATCCCGGCTGACACGTGACGGAATTGCGTCATTCACGCAGGATGAGGATGAAGTGAAGAAAGCGAAGCCTTTGAACGTTAAAGAGCGAGGAGAACAGCAACAGTGATCTCACTGTTTTTAGGACGGTGCCAAAAGAACTGCCGTATGTTAGGGCAGCAGAGAGAGACGAAGAAATAGAAATGATGTGACTTCCAACTGACACATACTTGCTAAGGGGGACGTCAGGTGTCCAGAAGGGGTAAATTCGAGCAACAGAATCGCGCATCTGCTCCTGGTAGCCCAAGTAAAAGTAGGCATCGTGGGAGAATTTCAGGGCCAACATGTCTGTTGGGTGGTCCCGGAGAATCTGTTCCCACAGTTCACAGGCTTTCGGAAAGTTCCTGGAAGCCAAGAGAGATTTCTCAGCAACACTGAGCACACGGTCCACCTACCAGGGGAGTGTAAGAGGCGTTGTTTCTCACGAATGTCACGGTCTGCACTGAATTGGTTTAAAAAAAAAAAAAATGAGTTTCTGTGTTAGGTTATAGCTCAGAAAACTGAAAAAACAGTGGGAAATTTTACTCTCTAGTTCAAGTTAAAAAAAAAACACTGTTTAACAAACGGCCAAAGGCACTTCCACTGGAGACCCTGCGCCAGCTGCAGGAAGTCTGCGAGGTGGAACTCCACACTTCGCTGACTCGCCAGTAAGACCAGGGCAGGACTTTCTCAATCTCAGGGTTTGGAACCCCTGCACCCCTGCACAATAAGCTCAGGTCACCCAGCTCTGTGGGGCATCTCGCCTGCCCAAGGAGACACGAGGCTGTCCCGGAGAGCATGGGGACCACCGTGGGAACAGAGCAGGGGGTGACCTGCGAGACAGCGTGAGGGCAAGTGGCATATGCGGGAACGTTTTCTTCTCCCTTCTAGTTACTTCTGTAATGTGGCCCTATTATTTTTGTAATGAAAATAATACACAATGCATTTAACGAAACCAAATAGTTACTCTGAATACCAAGTTGGGAATCCAGCCAACTGCTTCCTCATTGAGCGCTCAGCCCAGGACGGAGCAGCAGGCTGCAATTTCCCATCGGAGGATCTCAGGAGGTGGGCAGGACCACGCCCAGGCCACCCCTGCCCAAGGGCACTGGGAAAGGGAGACCCTGTCAGGCCAAGCCTCCGAGAGTCAGCCCCTGGCCAGGGTGGGGCCTCACCCCTCGGCAAAGGTCTCTACCGCAGACACGTGCAGCTGCTCCCGCCGCGTCAGGGGCTGCGTTTTCGAAATCTTCACCATTGTCTTCACAGCCAGGTCCAGCTCTCTGTCCAGCCTCACGGAGCTCCCGGTGCCAATCAGCACGAGGCCGTTAGAGATGGCGTGGCCCATCACTGGCGGAGGGTTGGAAAGCGGCCGGTGATTCAGGTGGAGGGAGTGGCAAGTCTAAAAGCGCTGCCAAAAGGCATCTAACGGGGGCATTCTGCTCAGGGCCAGGCACTGGATGGCGTGGTTAGGGGCTGTCTGCTGACTCATCAATTGACCTGTCACCACAGCCGGCACACGACCACCCGGGGGTGCTCATGGATGCCGCTCAGGGGGCTGGTCTAAGGAGGCCCTGGAGCATGGGAGCCATGATCCCGTCTGGGTTGCTCTCGCAGCAGAGAGCTGGCCGGGAGGGTGCCTTGTGGCCCTTGCAGCAGCCTTGCTGGCAGGTGTGCTGGCCCCCAGGCCCTACCTGGGCTTCCCAGCCCCCACCTCAAGGGAGGCAGGGTGTCTACCAGTGTTTGAAACCCAGTCACGGCCCAGGCCTGGGACCTAGGGCCCAGTCATAGTGGTGGGACCACCCGGTGGGCCCTGCTTCTGACTGGGGGCTTGAGGTCTGCTCAGAGAGCCGGACCCACCCCTGGCTACTGCTCTCCCCTGGGCTGGGCTCAGCTTCCCCAGGTCTTCCCAGTCCTTTCCCCGTCCTGTCCCTGCCAGGGTAATGTGAGCTCCCTGCCTTCAGTGTGACCAGGCTGCAGCAGGGGAAGAAGGGGGCACCCTGCTGCCCTGACGAGAGGACTCTCCTTCTCCTAGACCTGGCGCCTTGCCCCATACTGGGGCCACCCACCTGGGGTTCTGGAATGCACTGTGCTGACCTCCCCATGCCCACCGCACACACAGCTCGCCTGGATGCCAGCCCCTGCCACCCACTGGTCCTCACCCCATCCCAGTCACTCTGGGTGAGGCCTCACCTGTCCCCTGACCAAGGCTTCAGTGGCCATCTCTTGTGATCCAGAGGTCTGGGCTAATCCCAGCGCCTCAACTACCAGCTAGGTGGCTTTGGGTACATGTCTTACTCTCGCTGAACCATGGTTTCCTCATCTGAAAAGTGGGATCAGCATCTTCCTGGCGGAATTGATGGCAATTAGAGAAAAATTTGAAAACTGCCTCTGATTAGAGCCTGGCATCTTTATGGTAACGGCTGTTATTCCAAACCCGAACCCGATGGAAGCTGTCCTCTTTGCTCCCTCTGTGCAAATGCCGGCCCGGTTGCTGCCACCCCACATGCCTTCCCCAACCCAACCGAGTCCCTGTGGTCAGGGAATGAGACAGGGCTGGATCCATGAAACTGGGCTCCTCACCCAGGGAAAATGTTACTCACCGAAGGTCGGATCTGCTGCTTTGAGCTTTGACAGGGAGCCCTCAATGCCCCCGAGACTCTTGTCATTGGTCCACTTTACATACTGAAATAGAAAAGGTAACACGAAGGTGTTCTCATGGAGTCCTCGGATCATATTAACGACAGCATGTATCTAAATCCAGATTTTTTTCTTTTTAGAACATTGAGTGTTTTCTGGACTCTAACCCGAAGAAAGCACAACTTAGTTGATCTCATATGAAGAGATTAAATACATATAACTCAAGGCACACTTTCCATTTTTTTGGAAATGCCACCATTTCCAAAAAAAGAAACATCAAAAGGAAGGCTCTTCCTGGCAGCTGACCTGCCACCCATCGGCTTCTTCAGCTCTACGAGGGGCCTTGAAATTGGTCACCACCATAGGAACATTTCTGCTTCTTACTCTTGCCTTTTAAAAATAACCACAGTAAAAATTCATTATAGAGAGTTAGAAAAGGACACAAAAGTTGGAAGCTAAAACTTAATCTAATCTCTTCTCATCGCCATTTTTGACAATTTGATATATTTGTTTCTAGTCCTTTTTTTAAATGCCTCCTTGGAAAAATCCAGAAACTATAATAATGTATTGGATTTTAAAATGTGCCCTTTCAGTTGTCTAACCTACATCTACACAGAATTAGGACATGCATTTTAACAAGAGTCAGGGGAGCTGGCATGGAGATTCAAAGAACCCAGGTTCTAACGCAGGATGGCACAGAGACACCGATACTCCTACGCAGCACAGAACACGCACAGGCTGGGAGGATGAGCTGCCACTGAATTGGGGAAATGTGGCCTGTGACAAATTGAGAGCTCTACAGAGGCCAGCAAGGTACCGGAGAGGCAAGTGGGCCAACGTTGAACACAAAGAGCTCAAGGGCACGAGGTGGAGTCCCTGGCAAGGACAGCTGGGAGCAGAAGCGCCCGTGGCATAGCTAATGGAATTTCATCAGTCTTCGTGTTCAGCCTGTATGCTTCTAGGAGCTCCCCTGGTCCTCATGTTATATGGATGGCGTCAGTATGTAGCAGTCTCACAGCTCTGGATAAAGGCCAGCTTTAGTTTTCCATCGGTGCATTTGGACCTAGGTGCATCCTGGTTCTATCTCTGACTCACTAGAAGACCTTAAACTCAAGTTGATTCAACTCTCTGGCCCTCAGTTTCCCCCTTGTCAAACGAACTAGTTGGACCTTACTTCTGAGACCCCTTCTAGTTCTGAAACTATAAACTCCCTCATTGCTGTAGAAATGACTGTTAACGTGCAAGAAGGTCTTGGCACAGCCCTAAGTGAGAGCAGTATGTTCACAGATTCGCCTAGGACAGGATCCCACGCCCTATGGGGCAGAGCCCCACATCGAACCCTCAGCAGCCCACGGAGGGACGCCTATAAAGGCTCAGCACAAAACCAGCCCCCACGGTGAGCCCCCAGCTCTCTGCCCACCACTTAGGGACCTGGGGAAAGAGGGCGGTGCAGAGGCCCTCTCAGCCACGCCATGGGCCCACAGCGATGGTTCCACATGTTCCCACGTCCTCGGTACAGAGCACATAGATTTTATTGCACCTATTGCACTTTATGGTTACAGTGCAATTTAAAAAGCATTCACCAATTAAAAAACCCTGCCCATAGACCTTCACAGAAGGGGTCACCGCTCTCTCAGCAGGCCTACCTGGGTCAGGGTTGCATCGAACATCTTGCAGGCTTCGTTGCTTGGGGTGGAGAGTGGGAGCCCAGCATCCTTCCACGCCTGTACGCGGCAAGAAAGGAACACCAGGGCCTTATTCCAAGGAGTCCTCCAAATCTAAACACACGCAAACCCCAACGCCCAACACACTCGCAAATCTCTAAATGCCGAGCAATCCTTCAGATACGGGCTTCTGTAACATGTGGCCTTGTGGGGCACTCTCAGACCTCACAGTGTAGAGCAGAGAGAGAGAGCTGAGCTCCCCGTCCCCATCCAAATCCCAGCAACCTCTGAACGGCTGTGTACCCTCAGGCAAGATCCTCCCTCTCAGACCCTTGGCTGCCCCTCTGTAAAATGGGCTCGGGAGGCCAGAAAGGGATGACTGTGAGCAGACATTCAGTAAAGGGGAGCCCTCAGCACAACAAAGGGTCAGGCAGGCAAGACAGAGGCTGCGGCCGTCTTTCCATCTGGCCGGTAGGGTCACACTACCTGCCGACCACCAGAGCACTCCTCCCATCTCTCCACTGCTTCAGACATCTGACCTCCAAGTCCAGCAGTGCAAACATCTCCCAGTCAGGTTTGCTCCCTGCAATGGCTACCCTTGGTGTCCTGCCAGGGCACCGTCTGGTAGTTCCTCTGGGCAGAGGAAACGCCCTTTACTCCTGGCCAGCACAGAGGGCCACCTTCCCAGGTTTGGTATTGGGTAGCTGTGGACAAGCCGCCTGGCCCCTCTAACCTTCATTTTCCTCATCTGCAAAATGGGCTCAGGCTCCCTGCCCTGGGTAGGGTCGAAGGAGACCCTCACTATAGCCAGGCGTCCCTGCGAACTATGCCATGCCCAGTGAGCTAAGTTTTTAGGAGCTCTTGGTCACCAGGACCTCAACGGGCACCGCTTGTTTCCCTTGATGGGGACCCCACAAGAGAGTCTCCTGGTGCCTTCTACGCGCTGCCCCGGAAGTGCCTGCGTGCCAAGGGCGGACGCCCGCGCCCTGCGGCCCAGCCAGGTCCACCGCCCGTCCGCCGCGTCGCTGCCCGCCGGCGTCCCCCGCCTGACCCGGGTTGCCCACAGGCCCGATCCCGCCCGCCCGGCGCGGGGACACCCCCAAGGTCCTGGCGCCCTAGGGGGACCCGACCGGGGCCGCCTCCGCGTACCTGGCAGTCGCGCAGCGACGCGGGGGTGGCCATGGTGCGCTGGGTCAAGGTCCCGCGCGTCTGGGCTCCCAGCGCCGCCGGGCCTTCCGGGGAGGGGGCGGGGCGGGCGCCCGGGGGCGGGGCGGGGCGCTCTCCCGCCCGCTTACTGGTGGGTTTCGGACAGACCCGCCCAGGCCCCGGGGACTGGCCCGCTCCAGAGGCCCAGCCCAGCAACTCCGCGCTGGGGCGAAGCCGCCCAGTCGGGTGGTCGGAGGGGCGTCCGCGGGCTCCCCTGCTCCCGGGCTGCGGGACCTGGGCGGGGCTGGGGGGTACTTTGGTGTGAGCCTCCGTGTTCGCGCCTGCCTCCCCCATGAGACTGCGGGCCTGGGGCGGGAAGGCCAGGGCGCCGGCCTCGGGAAGCGCGCCCGGTGGTCCAGCCCGGTCTTGCCTTGTCTTCCCTTGCCCCCGCCGGGGACCCTACTGGGGAGGCTGCTGCCGTCAGGGTCCCTTGGGAGACAGGGGAGCCCTGGGACAGCGGTTACTTTCAAGTTTTATGTAGTCCCACTGAGAAGCCTTCTGCGCACGCACACCACACATTCAGATGTCATTTTGGGGCCCACATGTCATGGACCAGCTTTACTGAGTCCCACTGCTGCCCCGGGTCTCGTGCCCCTCCTTTCTCAAGGAAGTGCAGCGAAAATACAGCTCCCCTGACCTGCAGTGTCAGACAGCACCAGCTCTGCCATCAGCCACAAACCTGGAGTCAACCGAGTAGTGCAAGGGCAGGGGCAGATCCTGCTTGAATTAAAAATGATGATATTTTGTGCATCATGGATTTTTTGCATTAATTTTGATTTTCAAAAGTATTCCATTAAAATATGACTTGTTTTATGTGAGAGCTGAAACTATAAAACTCTTAGAAGAAAACACAGGAGTTAAATCTTCATAACCTTGGATTTGGCGATGGATTCTTAGATATAACGCCAAAAGGACAAGCAACCACAACAACAAAATAGATAAACTGGACTTCATTAAAATTAAACTTTTCTGCATCAAAAGACACTACCAGGAAAGGGAAAGGACAAACTCCAGAACTGGGGTCAATATTTGCAAATTGTGTATTGGGTAGGAGTCTAGTATCCAGAATATATGAAGAATTTTAGGCCGGTGGCCCATAACTGCAATCCCAGCACTTTGGGAGGCAGAAGCAGGAGGATTGCTTGAGGCCATATGCAACCATATTGGAATTGTTTTATTTCTTTAGCTGGGGTGTGGGCTCATGCAGGGGTTATTATTTCCTATATCTTTTTGTATGTCTTAGCTATTTTATAATCAAGAAAAATACCCTTCTCCCTGCGCCCCCTTCCCCTCTGGCTCCTGCCCACTTCTCTGCCCCACCATGTAGGCAAAACTTACCCAAAGAATCATATGTGGTCTTCTCCACTCCTCATCTCCTTCCTGCTCTCCACCCCACTCAAACTTTTGTCCCACCACTCCACTGACACTGCTCTTGTCCAGGACACCAAAAACCTCCTTGTTCCCAAATCCAGGTGCCACTTTCCCCACTTCACCTCCCCGACCTTGGCCACATCTGACACAGCTGTCCTCACACTCTTGAAACCCTCTTGCAGTGACTCCACCCCTTTGTTAGTCTCCTCCTGCCCCACTGCCCCTTCTTCTCTGTCTCTGCCTTGGCTTGACCTTTAGATACTGGGGGGCTCCAGGGTCTGTCCACTCCTCCATGGCACCTCCTCCCTACGCAATCTCTGACCCCAACCTGAGTCTCCAGCCCTGACGTTTCCCGTCCTAGTCAGCTCTAGCTGCCATCCAAATCCCACAGAGTGGGTGGCTTAAACAACAATTTATTTCTCACGTTCTGGAGGCTAGAAGTCCAAGATCAGGGTGACAGCATGGTCAAGTTCTTGGTAAGGGCCTTCCTCCTGATTTGCAGATCTTTCCTTTGTACATGCACATGGAGAGAGAGAGAGAGAGAGAGAGAGAGAAAGAGAGAGAGAGATTTCTCCTCTTATAAGGCCACTAACCCCATCATGAGGGCACCTCCCTCATGACCTAACTAACCCTAATTACCTCCCAAAGGCCTCACCTCCAAATACCATCATGTCTGCAATTAGGGCTTCAATTGAGGAGGGGGGACACAAATATTCAGTCTATGGCACCAATAAATACCAGACTTAGATCAGGGTGACCCACAGGAAACTGCTGACATGGGACCATGTTTGATCCATCAAAGCAGCAATTTCCTGAGGTCCAACGGAATACAGACCCCTTCCTGGACAGAGCTAACAGACATGACGTGACCAAAACAGAAGTGGAGTCATCCTTGTTTGCCCTTTTTCACTCACATCTGACATCCAGGGCTGGTTTCATGGGTGTGCGCCTGGGCAGTCACACAGGGCCCCACACCTAGAAGGGCTCATGCTTGGGTTAATGCTCTGCCTTAGCTGTCTGGAAGTTCTTAGTAATTTTGGAACAAGGAACCCTGCATTTTCAATTTGCACAGAGCTCTGAAAATTACATACCCGGTCCTGCTAACATCCAATCCATTAACAAGTGCTGTCTTTTCTGAGTCCCCTGCTGTTTACCACCTCCCCCAAACCCCCACCATCGCAAACCCAAACCAAGTCAAGATCAGCTTACCTGCATACCTGTTGTTCTTCCAGCAGTCAGGCCTGCCCCTTTATTTCACTGAACCCCTCCTCACTGGACTTCCTTCAACCTGGTTCCCACGCAGCAGGATGCTGCCTGTAAAATGGAAATCAGATCAGGCCCTTTAGCTGCTCAAAATCCTCCAAAGGCTTCCCAATCCACTTGAGATAAGATCCAAGTGTGTTAGTTACCACACCCTACAAGCCCTGCCTGCTCCATCTTTGGCCATCACTCCAATTACATCTCCCACCACTCCCTCTCCCCCCTGCTCACCCCAGCCACACTGCTAACCTTCTGTCTCCTTCCTGCCTCCATGTCTTTGCACTTACAGTTCCCTCTCCTAGAAATGCTACTCCCTAGCTCTTTTCGAGCTTGCTCCCTCATTTCCCGCAGATCTGCAGGCTCAGATGGCATCTCCTCAGAGAGACTTTCCTGACTGCCCTCTCTCATCCCTACTCCTGACTACTCACCCCGCCTTACTTTTCTTCACACCACTTATCACGCCCGAAATCATACACATTAAATCTTGGCCTGATTACTTTTGATCGCCCCCATTATAATGGAAGTTCTATGAGAACTGGGACTAGGGTTAGTGCCTAGAAAAATGCCTGGCACATGCTAGTGCTCGAAAAATGTGTGGAATGGCTAATGCTAAATGGGGGAATGAAAGAAAAAAAATCAGAAGGGATAATAGGAAAACAAATAATAAAATGTAGATCTAAATCCAACCCATATCAATAATTATATTAAATGGTGATGGTATAAATACTTCAACTAAAAGGCAGAGATTGGATTAAAAAAAAACTCTATTACATGTTGCCTACAAAAGACCACTTTAAATATAAAGACATAAATAAGTTGAAAGTAAATGAATGAAAAAAAGATGTCATAGAAATGATAAGCATAAGAGGGCTAGTGTGGGTATTTTAATATCAGGTAAATTAGACTTTGAAACAAAGATTATTACCAGAAATACAGACATTTCCTAGTGATAAAAGGGGCAACTCATCAGAAAGAAAAAACCACAAATGGGTATACATTAATAAATAGAGCCCCTAAATATACAGCAAAAATTGACAGAATTAAAGAATGAAAGAGACAATTCCACAGCCACGGTGGGAGAGATTTTTCTCAACAACTAATAGACAAAAATTCAGAAAAAACAGAAGATCTGAGTAACACTACCAACCACCTTGATCTAACTGAACACTCCAATTTATAACATCACACATACAGTTTGCAGAACACTCAACAACAATACAATACACATTCTTTTTAAGTGCACATGGAACATACACCCAGACAGGCCAGATAATGGGCTTTAAAATGAGTCGTAATACATTTAAAAGAATAGAACTCATACAGAATATATTCTCTGACCACACGCAACACAATTGAATCAGAAATTAATAACCACAACATTTCGATGGAAACTCCAAAAATCTGGAAATTAAATAACACATTTTAAAAATAATTTAGAATAATTCATGGGTCAAAATAGGGGAAATTAGAAATATTTTTAACTGAATGATAACAAAAATACAACAAATACATGGGATGCAGTTAAGCAGTATGTAGCAGGAAATTTACAGCTTTAAATGCATTAGAAAAGAAGAAAGCTCTAAAACCAATGACCTAAGGTTTCAGCTTAAGAAACTAGAAAAAGGGCACAATAAACTCAAAGAAAGTAACCCAAGGTCAGCCCTCCCGGGGCCAGGGGGATCTCACAGTTCCCTCTTGATTTCCAGTGTTTTGTAACTGGTTTCCCAAGGGAGCGGATTCCTGCTAAAAAGCCTGCTTTGCCGGTCTGTAAACGCAGCTGAATTAACCTCACTCAGCGACCCCTGATCCTGGGGCCCACACACCCGTGGGAACCGAGAGGTGGGGGCGCACCCCTGAATTCCCCCTACGGCGCTGTCCCTGCTGCACCCTGGACCTCACCGTCGCTGAGACCCTCTGCCCCGTGACCCTCGATGCCCAATGCCCCACTGTCCCCGTGAGCCCCGACGTCCTGGCTGCTCTCGCGACCCCGCAGCCGTTGGGCCCGCCTGGCGCCCTCCCAGCTCCTCCCGGGCGGGCGCCATGCGGCCTGGGCCCGCGCTCCTCCTCCTGGGCCTGGGCCTGGGCCTGGGCCTGCTCCCGCCGCACCCGGCTCCTCGCGGGGCCCGGGCCGCCGTCCCCGGGGCGCCGGCCACGCAGTCGGGAGGCCTCCTCAGGGGCGCCCGGGGCTTGAGGGAGCGCGGAGGCCGCACCCGCCTCAGCCTGCGGCGCCGCGCGGCCCGGGACGGCGGCGTCCTCCTGAGCGGCAGCCGCGACCTCTGCTTCCCCCGTGGGGGGCCCGGCCGGGCGGGCGCCGAGCGGCGCGTGTCCCCGCGGCCCCCGGGCTGGTACTGCCTGGGCGTGCGCGTCCTGCTCCGCGGCCGGCCGGGCCCCGCGGCGCCCACGCACGTGGACCTGCGCGTCTCGGCGCCCCGCGGCCGGCTCTCGCTGGCGTGGTCTGCCCGCCTGCCGCACTCGCTGGGGCCCCTAGCCTGGGCCTTCCGCCTGCGGCTGCTCGGGCCCGGGGAAGCCCGGCCGACCCGCGCCCGCCGCGCAGCCGCCGCCACGCGCCCCTCCGCTCTCTCCGTCCTGCCCGCCGACCCCCGCCCCTACTCCGGCTTCGTGGCCCACACCCAGTGCCCCACAGATGGACCCACGCCCGTTGTTTTGGAAGCCGTCGACTCGTCCAACCGCACAGCCATGACGTCTTCCGTGTCCTGTCAGATAAGATCCTGCATCATCAAGCAAGTGAAGATCAACACGAACAATGACAGCGCCCCCGTGTTCCTGACGAGGAAGGAGGAAGCCACCATCAACGCCACCGCTCAGTATGACTGCCCGTTTGCCCAGGCCATTGCCACGTACTGGCAGGTCTTCTCCGTGCCCTCCGTGAATGACGTGCCCGACTGGACGCAACCTATGGATCTATCACAAATCGAGATCAAGAACGATCCATTATTTATACACATCCCCCGCTCTTCTTTACACTGGGGGGTGTATGTGTTTAATTTCACAGTGTCCATCACCACATCCGATCCAAGAATGCCTCTAGTGCAAGACTCAGACTCCATCTATGTCTGCATTGTCAGACGTCCCCTGAAGGCCGTTATTCTTGGGAATGCCAGCATGACAGTGAACTTCACAGACGAGCTGATTCTGAACGGAGCAATGTCCTCTGACCCAGAGGCCGACGACCCATTAGAGGGACTCCAGTTTTTCTGGCACTGTACCACAAATCCACACAACTACCGTGAAGACCAGATAATGGTGATGAACCAGGAAGTCTGCCACCCAGAGCAGACTAATCTCAAGTGGCCTTGGGCCTCTGGCCCTGTGCTAACACTTTTGCCAGAAACACTTAAAGGTGCCCAGGTGTATTTTTTCAGAATGGTGATACAGAAGGGTTTCAGAAGAGCATTTTCTGATAAAAGAGTGCACGTGCTCCAAGGACCAAGAGCTATCGCACACATTTCATGTATTGAAAATTGTGATCGGACTTTAATTATATCAGATAGATTTTCTTTGTTTTTAAATTGCACAAATTGTGCAAGGCGTGATTTCTATAAGTGGTCAATTTTGTCTTCTTTGGGCAGTGAAGTGCTATTTGATTGGATGGGGCAAACGGTAACAGGAAGGAATAGTGCTTATTTGTCTATAAAAGCTTTTGCTTTCAGTCATTTTTCGGAAGCTGAGTTTTCGGCTTCGCTATACGTAGCAAGTTGGAGTGGAGATATCTCAGTCTTCAGGCATTTCTTTATTCCTAACCATGGCCCTCAACTTGGAGAATGCAAAATTAATCCAGCTAAAGGAATTGCACTTTTTACTAAATTTGTTGTCCAGTGCAGTAATTTTAAGGACCAGCACATCCCTCTTACATATAAAATAATTGTTTCTGATTTGCACGGTATTGGTGAAATCAGTTCAGTAAAAGAAAACAGCTTGGGGGCCATCCTGTATTTGGGTACTGAGCCCACAGCACCCCCTTCCTTTCTTCCTGTTGGTGTGTTGACCAATCATTATGCCACCAAAATATATGCTCAGGTTTATGACTCTCTAGGAGCTTTCGCTCAGGTGACTTTGTATGCCACCGTACAGGCTCCTACTGACAAAAACTCATCAAAGACTGTGTTGCATCAGTTACTCGATCTCACCAACGGGCCAAGTTCATTGCTATCTACATTGCTTCAAAAGCAGAATTTTTTATCTGCAGGTTACTTAATGTATATAGTAGCTTCCGTCTTGAATAACATGAAAGCTGAATTACCTCTCCGAGCTGAAAAAGTCAATCTCCGAGAACACCTTGTCAATCAGTCTTTCCTTCTTCCTGCAAGCACTTTGGTGGAAATCGGCCAGGTAGTAACGACTATTACCAAATTAACCCAGAAACCCTTGGAACTCACTGGAGTGGCTCAGAAACGTGCCACAGTGAGGATATGGCAAGCAAATCAAGCCCTGCAAGAGTATCAACAAAAAGATAAACACTTTAGCTCTGAACAAATAGAAATTGTGAGCACTGGAATATTAACAAGTTTGTCCAATATCCTTAAACTGACTGTTCCTCACGAAGTGGTTGAAGATCCTTTCTACGTAATAGAATCTCTATCAGACACAATATTGGCTAATAAAGTGCCAGGGACTGAAACCACTGTCATGAGAACCCCCAACTTTAACATGTATGTCAAGAAAGTTGAAAAGTGGAAGGTTACCCAGGTCTTCAGAAACGAGACACGCTGCCGAAATTGTTTTTATCCAGCACTCAATGTGAGCAGTGTTCCCGCCCTGCCTGCAAATGCTCCAGTTTCTACTATGTTTTGTGAGTTTGCAGAGGACCCTTTTCCTTGGTTAGATGGTGGAGAAAGCGCTTCAGTTGAGGTGGTTGGATTCAGAATGACCGGAGCCGCAGACAACGGCACTGTGATAGAGATCACGCCCGACGTAGTGGAAGTGTACCTTGTCAGAAAAAACTTGACCTTTGCAGCTTTTAATCTCACAGTGGGACCCAGCAGTGAGCTTGACGGGGCCTTGAAGAAGACAACAGGGGTGTTTAGCTTTGAAGTGGACAGCAGAGTACTCAGGGAGGTGCTGGTCCACATTGTGACTGAAGTGACCGTGTTGTTCGAGGTGCTGGTGTACGCAGGCAGTCAGCTCAGCCCCACGGCTCTGGTCGCCACCTTCCTCGTGCCTCATGACATCCCTCCAGTTGCCAGCCAGAGTGCCCTGTTTGATCCTGCCTGCACGGTGAAGGCAGCCCGCCTGGTTTGCCTCCCACTGTCTCTGCTGCAGGTCATAGCTCAACGCAGCCACTCATCCCAGTGTGCCATATCCGTGGTTCTGCGGGCACCTCGTTTTGTCATAAAGCCCAATGACAGGCTGGTGAGGATTTCTCTTTTCAGCGTTCAGTGCTTGGACATGTATGGGATCCAGAGTGAGTGGAGGGAAGACAACTGCGTGCTCGGTGAGAAGACCACCTGGCACAAGGTGCACTGTGTCTGCAGGCACGCGGTGCGGGCCAGGCGGCAGCTGGGCACACTCAGGCTAACCAGCCTTCACCTGCACACCTGCTACGTGATGGCCAGGGTGATTGTGGTCCCTAACCCCGTGGATCTGCAGTTAAAGGTCATCAAGAATGTTTACCATAATCCTGTGACCCTCTTCACTGTGCTTTTTATCATGTTCCTGTACATGGTCCTAGCTTTCTGGGCCTTGCATAGGGATGAAATGGACCAGTTTCTTCGGGAACATGTGATAGTTCTACCTGATAACGATCCTTATGATAACATATGCTACTTGGTCACAGTTTTTACAGGAAGTCGTTGTGGGGCTGGGACCAGAGCCGACGTCTTTGTGCAGCTTAGGGGCACAGCGAGTACCAGCGACGTGCACTGTTTAAGCCATCCACATTTTACAACTCTCTACCGAGGAAGCATCAGCACTTTCCTCCTAACGACAAAAAGTGACTTGGGGGACATCCATTCCATCCGCGTGTGGCACAACAACGAGGGCAAAGCACCTAGTTGGTATTTAAGTCGAATCAAAGTGGAAAATCTGTTTAGCAGACACGTTTGGCTGTTCATATGCCGGAAATGGCTCTCTGTTGACACCACTTTGGACAGAACATTTCACGTTACCCACCCAGACCAGCCTCTGAACAGAAGAGACTTTTTCTTTATTGACGTGAGTAATAAGCTAGGGAAAAACCACATGTGGTTCTCCATTTTTGCCAGTGTCGTTCCTAAACCGTTCAGCAGGCTCCAAAGATTGTCTTGTTGTTTGGCAATGTTGCTAAGCTCTCTTCTTTGTAACATTATGTTCTTTAATCTAAATAGAAAAGAACAAACTCAGTCAAGAGAGGGGCGCTACATCAGATCAATGATGATAGGAATTGAAAGTGTCTTAATTACAATCCCTGTGCAATTATTAATAACCTTTTTGTTCACCTATTCCCAGAAGAAACCTCAAGTGAAGCTAGAGGAGGTGTCTCCTCAGGAGCATCCCCTGATGTCAGAAGACGGTGGACACTGGGAAGAACGTCTGGGAAAGTGGCATGCTCGTCAAACCGCCGTGACACATGCCAGCGAGACCGCAAAGACTGTGAAGCCTGCGTCCAGGCGAAAGCCCGGGATTCCTAAGCCTTCTGTTAAAGCAACCTTTAGATCAAAGCACCAGCATGAGAAAGCAGAAACCAAGGCCCCGGAGACCCACAGACCAAACACAAATTCCAACAACAACAACAACAACAGAGAGGACAATGAAGATGTTCCTTCTGAAGAGCCCTCTTCACAGCAGGATCTTGCCCCACCTAAAAAAAAGCCCCGGATCGTCCTGCCGTGGTGGTGTGTTTATGCGGCATGGTTCTTGGTTTTTGCCGCTTCCAGCATATCCTCCTTCTTTATTGTATTTTATGGGCTGACTTATGGCTACGAGAGGTCAGTAGAATGGCTCTTTGCATGTTTTTGTTCATTCTGTCAGTCAGTCTTTCTGGTGCAGCCGTCCAAAATCATACTCTGGTCAGGCATCAGGACAAATAAGCCCAAGTACTGTAAAAACCTCTCGTGGTCAACCAGATACCACTATTCAGAGATCAGGCTGCGGAGAATGAACATGCACCCAGAGGAGATGAGGAGGCTACACGACCGCATCAGCCAAATCCGCGGCACGAGGATGTACCAGCCCCTCACGGAAGACGAAGTTAGAATATTCAAAAGAAAGAAGAGGATCAAGAGAAGAGCTCTCCTCTTCCTGAGCTACCTCGCGACTCACCTCATCTTCCTGGCCCTTCTGTTGGTCCTCATCGGCCTGCTGCGCCACACCGACAGCTTCTACTACAACCAGTTTCTCCGCGATCAGTTCTCCATGGACCTTGCTGCTGTGACCAAGCTGGAAGACGTCTACCGATGGCTGAACAGCGTGCTGCTGCCTTTGTTACACAACGACCTGAATCCCACGTTCCTTCTTGACGGCTCGTCCACCATCCTTGGCCTTCCACTGATGAGGCAAGTGAGAGCAAAATCTACTGAAAAACCGTGTCTACCTGCTGAAAACTTCGTGCAGAACAGCATCAAAAGAGAAATTCGTTGTCATCCCAAATATGGCATCGACCCAGAAGACACAAAAGACTATTCTAGTTTTTGGAATGAAATTGATAAACGGCACACACACAAGAATACCAATGGTTTTGCTTATAAACATCAAGGAAAGCAATGGGTGTATTATTCCTACGGGTCGTTACATACCTACGGATCGGGAGGATATGCGTTCTACTTTTTTCCAAAACAGCAGAAGTTTAATTCCACACTGAGGCTCAGAGAACTTCAAGAAAGCAATTGGCTTGATGAGAAGACGTGGGCTGTGATCTTGGAATTGACAACTTTCAATCCAGATGTCAGTCTGTTCTGCAGCATTTCAGTCGTATTTGAGGTCTCGCAGTTAGGGGTTGTCAACACCAGCATAGCTCTGTACTCTTTCTCACTTGCTGAGTTCAACAGAAAAGCTTCAGCAGAAATCTACTTGTATGTGGCCATCCTCATTTTTTTCTTAGCCTACACTGTCGACGAGGGCTACATCATCATGCAAGAAAGAGCCTCCTACGTGAGAAGTGTGTATAATTTGCTCAACTTTGCTTTAAAATGCATATTTACTGTGTTGATTGTGCTCTTTCTCAGGAAGCATTTCTTGGCCACCGGTATGATTCGGTTTTACTTGTCGAACCCCGAAGACTTCATTCCCTTTCATGCAGTTTCTCGAGTAGATCACACCATGAGGATAATTTTGGGTTTCCTGTTATTTCTGACGATTTTGAAGACGCTCAGGTATTCCAGATTCTTCTATGATGTGCGCCTGGCTCAGAAGGCCATCCAGGCGGCCCTTCCCGGCATCTGCCACATGGCGTTCGTGGTGTCCGTGTACTTCTTTGTATACATGGCTTTCGGTTACCTGGTGTTCGGGCAGCACGAGTGGAACTACAGTAATCTGATTCATGCCACTCAGACCATATTTTCCTATTGTGTTTCAGCTTTTCAGAACACTGAATTTTCCCACAACAGGATTCTTGGGGTCCTGTTCCTCTCATCTTTCATGCTGGTGATGATCTGCATCTTGATCAACTTATTTCAGGCAGTAATTTTGTCTGCCTACGAGGAGATGAAGCAGCCCGTGTACGAGGAACCGTCGGATGAAGTGGAGGCAATGACCTACCTGTGTGGCAAGCTAAGAACTATATTTGGCTTTCAGACCTCCCAGTCGAGGGCCAAAGATGAGCCCGAGTTCTTTGTCGACATGCTGTATGGGCAGCCAGAGAAGAATAACCACCGGTATCTGGGGCTGAAGACCAGAAACATCAATGGGAAGAAAATGGTTTACCTCGTTGTTTGACGAATGATGGTTTCAAGCGCCATAAGCAAGTGTCTCCCCAAACGCTGGGTCTGTGGGACTAAGGGGATTGAGGGATGCTAGTGGCTCAGCCATGCTTTCCACCCATGTCCTTCATAGTGTGCGCTCCTGCATTTGGAAGGATCCCCACTCTTGGCCTCTGCTCTTGGGAACGTGAAAGTAGGAGCACAATGTAGCATGTGGGGAAAGACGAGATCACAGTGTAGGATTCTTGGATTGATTTCCCTTTACAGGGGAATTAGGTGACTCCTGGTACAGCAGCAGACCCTGCAGCAGTTTAGAGGAGTTGGAGCCACCGAGTGTGAGAACCAGATTTGAGGGAGGGAGCTGAAAGGGCCCCACCCTGGACCTGGCCAGGGCAAGGATGCTCCGGGTGCTCCTTCCTTCCACCCAAGCTGGAAGCCAATGGCCCACTGCCCCAGTGCAGAGCTCCAGACTCCTCTGCCTCACTGTGAGTCTTCTTTGCAGACCCAGGCTGCAGGCTCTCCTCCCCCAGTCCTGTTGGGCCAGGGCCTCATGGGGAGTTCCAGGACTTGCTCTGTGCTTGGGAATGCAGGGGTCAGAAGTCGGGAGCTTCCCTTTTATGCCTTAAGTTTGCGGCAAGTTAAAGTAAAATTTAATAGCATTTTCTGACCAACAGACATGGCTTTTGTTCAACAACAAAAAGGTGCATATGGATTAACACTGAAATACAGTAAGTGTTCTGCGTATTGAATATAGCAATATGTATACATCTAGGATTTGGGCATTTGGTTATTTGTGGTATGGTGGGTTATTTAGCAATAAGGAAAATGTGGTTCATTACTTAAGAGAAACAAGGGCCAGCAGCTGTACCATTGTACTCAGAAGCATGTTTGTTTACATAGATGCCACTTTAAACTTCATCCGAATTAAATGTGAGATTACTTCTGTGAGACTTGCAGTGATTTCTGCGTGAGGAGCGTATACACACATGGCTCCTGCCCTCCAAGTGGAGAGACAGAAAGGGGGACAGCCCAGTCAGGTGGGTGGCTTGCTTTGTACCCACGTCGGTGTCTCTGTCATCCTGAGCTGCACTGCAATGGCCACAGCCCGTGCATCGCTTTCTCTAGACAGGACGCCTGCAACCCTGCGCAGGCTGCAGTCTTCTCTGCCAGGTGAGACAATGAAGAGGTCTAGGCTCGCCCAAGGGCGCAGGTATCAAGGGTCAGAAGGTCCGATTTGGATTTTCTAATTCCCCTGGTGGGGAGGTCATGGGAGTGGCCCGGCCCATGCTGGCCCACTGGTTCCGACTGGAGCACACCCTCATTAGATAGCACCTCTCTTAACCACCAGACTTCTGGACAGATTGAGAAAAAGAGTCTACAAGGGGCCAAATGATGACTTTTTGCTGATAGAGGCCAGATACATCCTGGTCAAATGCGTTTGCCGACTGAGCTGCAGAACGAGGGAGTTCAAGCCCCCGTTGCAGGCCTGGCTGGGCAGCCGGCACTTAGAGGCAGCGCAGGCTGCTGGCGGGCTGGGCAGAGACTCATGCTCTCTGTGGCTGGGTGTGCCCAGGCATTCTCCCCCGATTTAGCAATCAGCTAAAGCCTCTGCCACTCTGCAGGGGCTGAGAGGGGCTCAGGGTTATGGAAGTTGGCCTCCCTTCCCAGGAAGGAAGCACAGGGAAGGGGGGCAGTTTTGCCCCACCACAGCCAGAGCTGTGCAGCGGGACGGTCACCAAAGAATCAGCCCCAGAGGCGGCAGGCAGTCACTGAGGGCCCAGGAATGAGCACTGGAGGTGGTCTGAGTGAGGACTAGGGCCAGCAGCTGAGGGTCCTGCTGAATGAGACAACGTTCTCAAGTTCTTGGTGAAAATGAGAAATCTAGCAGTCATGGGATTTTTCCCATGCATGATGGGAAAGGGGTGAGTACCAGGGGTTTTCTTCTGACAGAGCAATGACAAGAATTTATACAGTTTAGAGACAGAGATGCCAATTATAACATTATCAGGAAGACGAAGTGTCAAGTAAGACAAATCATAATTCAGGTTTCTTTTGAAGGCCATTTCGCAGGACATGGCAACAATTTCTAAAGGAGTCTTTTAAGTCCTTTGTTCTCATTATACTCCCACAGACAGGCATTTTTAAGGCCTGTTTCTGGCATTTCACTAGTAGCACTCAAATGTAAGCCTTTAGACCTGAATGTTATTGGCAGAAAAGGGGGACGGGATGAATAGGATGGTATTCATCCTTATCGAAATGGGGTGCAAAGGAGTTACTCCTCCACAGAACCCCCTTTGCTGCTGTTAGCAACACTTAGCTCTAGATTTTAATCTGAATTCAATTCCTTCCATTTTCAGATTTCTATTCTCAGTCTTCACCTAAATACATGATGTACGATATTTGTTCAATACTGAAATTATCTTTCAAGTCCACATTTATACATTTTATAAGTATTACTACAACATATAGGCAATTATTTTTCCCTGCAAACTCATCCCTAACACTTGTGGGGCCCAGAGCAGGATTACAAATTTCCATATGTCTAAATATTTAAAAACTTACAAACTCTTACATAAAATATTTATATCCATCTACCTTTATAAATATACCTTCATAAGGATAAAATAAAAAATTATGCGTAAAGCTATGGTTTTCATGTAACTGAAAATTGGCAAGCTATTAAAGATAACTGAATTTAATCTTTATTGTCCACCCCTGGGTGTTCTGTGATGAGCCACTGATGTTTTAATAATAAAGACATACATAATCCATAAATTATTACATATTTATTCTATAAATTTTATTTTTCTTGCCTTCATTTCAGAAAAATCATTGTGTTGATATAATAAAGATTTTCACACAATTGTGTTCTATGCAAAATAGTGTCAAATTAGAGAACCTTTTCTACTTTATAGTTTTTAATTATTTCAACAGGGAGAAACTTCACTCTGCTGAGAGAGTGCAACTGGACTTATGAATAAGATTCTTATGGCTTTTTATTCAGAACTGAACCATGAATATCGATATCATGTTTAAACATTGTAAGGAGGACACACAGGAAAAATTATCAAGATTGCAGAAAACATTACAAACTGCTTTCATTATATAAGCTGTTATCTCACTATTATTACTGTTCCTTACAACAATATCTAGATTCATATCGGATTTCTTATGTTTTTCTTTTACATTTTTCAGCACTGAGACATTATAAAGAAAACTGAAAATTGCAGTGTGTTGCTCACCTTGTTCAAATCTCTTTATCAATGGAGACTACACGTTGATCTACAGTGGCCAGAAAATAGTCTCTATAGAAATTAGTTTCAGGATTATTAGTACATGAATGTTTTTTAGACACCAGCAAATGTTTCTGTTTCCTAGTTTTAATTTGCTTACATAGTACTTGAATGTTATTTTAGTGCTTATTTCATATGCAGTTTCTTTGGGAAAACCATTTTTTTCCCTAAAACTTTATGCAATATAATTATTTTGGATTTTTAAAAGCTTTATCTAATATTAATAACTGTGGACAGATCAAATTTGAAATTAACTTTCTTTTCTGCCAAAGACCACGGTTTGTTCTTTGACTATTATCTATTATTTCACTTAATTCTTCTAATGCATCTCATCCGTAACTTGTCCAAAATAAGTCTAATTGCTTGAACAGCATTCATGGGATTACCATCACGTATCTGAGAGTAGTTACAGGTTAAATTTGAAATGCTTCCTCAAGATGTTCTATCTTTGGGTAGATTCAGAAAAAAAAAAACCCAACCCAGTATATAATCTTTGAATGGATTCAAAGAATGCCGCTGCTGAGAGCACAGCTGAGGTTATATCTCCTAGAAACATAATAAAATTGCCTGCTAATTCCTGGGGCCCCTCTATCTCAGGGCTAAGAGTGGTTCTGGTTTCTATGGTACTAAAATGCCATGTATAATCCTTCTCAGTTCCCCAAAGGAGAAAATCTGAGATCTGTCTGCTGCAAGTTGGCAACATTCCTTTAAACATGGCTTGACCAATCAGGAATACGTTCTGGTCTGTCAGGAACAGCACACCTTGGCAATGACAGCGCGCACACCTCATCTGGCCTAGGTAATGGTTACAGGGGACCCCACTAACACAGCAGTATATGGTAGATTGGGGCTGGATGGGAGAAGAATGCGGGCTGGTAGGACAGGCAGGCAGAGAACTGTTGCTGCAGGTCAGGGGGCAGGCCTTCTCTTCAGCGGAAAACGCTAAACCATTGGGGGAAGGAGGGTAGCAAAATCCGTGGTCCCCAAGGCACAGGTGAAGACCCACTGCGATTGGGGCGAGGGTTTCCACCTGGGAAAAGTGGAGGCCACAGGCAAAGCCAGGCCCGCTGGCTGCAGAATTGGTGGCTCTCATACACTCCTCCCACACGAGGGCCCGGGAATGGGGCTGGCATTTCATGTCTAGGAGCAGCGTGTGGGGCCCCGGTGGTAGGGGAAGCGAAGGAGCCCTGTGACTAGTGTCGGGCGATGGGCGAGCGAAGAGACCCAGGAAGCCGAAAGGAGCGCAGACAACAAGGAGCGTCATAAGCCACTCTGAGGCCTATGAGCCCAGTGGCACATGTGGTGACCACGCGGCTTTATAAAGGTCGCAGGAACCACGGGGCTGGCTTTGAACTCGTCTTTTCCCCTGCAGCGTGCGGGGGCTTACGCCCTGTGGGGGCACCGACAGCGTGCGGGGAACCAAGGCCCGGGTATTTCGGCCACAGAGGCGCGGGGCGGAAGGAGGGGTTTCTGCTGGGGCCACGCGTCAGAGATCTCGACACTGCCGAACCCGACACAAAACCCAGACGGAAGCTGCGCACCTCGCAGGGTCAGACAGAACCCCAGTCCGCGTGCTCCGACCATGGCGCGCCTAGACACGACACCCAAAAGCCCCCAGCCCATCCGTGCGCCCACCCCTGATCGAGCGCTCTGCGGCGACCGGAAGGACGCGGGGGAGAAGGAAGGCGGCCGCGAGGTCCCGCCCCCTCCGCCCGCGCCTGCGCCTGCGCCTGCGCCCGGGGCTGGCGGACAGCTGGGGGCGGGGCCGCGCACGCGCCCTGGGACGCAGAACCGCGCGGCGCGGGCGGCGGTGAGTGGGCGCGGGGACGGAGGCCAAGCGGGGGCGAGCGCGCTGTGGGCCGGAACAGCAATCCGAGTGCTTCCGAGTCTCCGAGTCAGGCTTCGGTGCTGGCGTGGAGGCCTGTGCGGTTCCGATTGTCGGGGGTCGGTGCGGCCTCTCGCGGCGTTGGAGACCGGACGAAGGACGCGGGAAAGGCCACCCGGTGTCGGCCTCGCGGTGCGGAGCCCTCCTGACCTCTGGGGCTGCTAGGTCTCCCGCGCGAGCGGTGCGGGGCAGCGGCGCCAGCTGAGGGAAGGGCGTGTGCGGGGCTCGCAGTTGCCGGGCCGCCTGCTGTGCCTGGGGCCTGTGACCGACTGACAAGGCGGCGCTCCCGGTCGCCCCCGGCTGTGGCCTTGCCAACTCCACTGTAGAGCTGCGAACCGAGATTGGGTTCACGCACGCCTGAAATGGGTTTTAATTTTTTAAGAGTCATTTTTGACCCGTGCTTCCAAGATTTACATCTGGGGTTGTCCAACTCAAAACTCATTTCTTGACATACATACCCACACTCTCAGGTTTAGAAGAAGTGAGATCACAGCTGTCCCAAGACTATCGTTAGGGGTCTCCTATATCTGGGGGCGGGGAAGGATTCCTAAGAAAGCCTGAGACTGCAGCTGGATCAGGACAACGGGGAACCCAGCATAACTAGCAGCTGCCACCTATGGGAGGGTGAAGATGACAGAGAAAAACCCTCTCTAGGCAAATGGATCCTCACCCTAAGCACAGGTAGTGCTAGAGAAATTTGAAGCCAGTGATACCCTGAGACCATCTCAACTGTGATTGATTTAATACCCCACACAAAGGCCCAGCATAAACAGAGACATGACATGTTTTATAAATACTATTAATACTTAACCTCCACTATCTTACCAAATGTCCAGCTTTCAACCAAAATTGCAACACACAGAAAAGCAAATAAAAAAGAATACTGCTTGCTGTTAAGAATCAAAACAATCCACAGACTCAGATATGACCCAGATGTTAGAAGTATCAGACAGGGAGTTTAAAATAAGTGTGATTAATATGTTAAAGCATGAAAAAGCTATACAACATGCATAGGGGATTTCAGCAGAGAAGGAAACTGAGAATCGATGGCAATACTCGTAATAAAAAACAGCAGAGACGATGTGCCTTCGAAAGGCACATCAGTTGATTTGACATAGCCAAAGGAAAAACGTCAATGAACTTAAAGATAAGTCAATAGAAATCACCCAAACTGCAACACAAAGAGAAAAGAGTGAAAAAAACAAACCAAAAAAACAAACCATCCAAGAGTATAGGCAACAATATCAAATGGTGCAACGTATTTACAGTTAGAATCTCAGTGGAAGAAATACTTAAATTTTCCAAAAATAATAAAAGATATCAAACCACAGATCAAAGAATTTGCTTAAAGAAGCATCATAAGGATAACTAACTTTAAAAGAAAAAAACCCAGATATTTATTTAAGCTGCAGCCAAAGATAAAAGCTTCAAGGCAGCCAGAGGGGAATGCATAGGGAGAGCTGTTGGGGAGCCTTGTAGGTGGAAGGAACAGCAGGAGCAAAGGCAAGGGGGTGAGAATGTGCAGGCAATATCTGCAGAACAGGACATGAGCCGCTTGAAGATAGCGGAAAAAGGTGGCACCCAAATTAAAGAGTCTTTGAATGCCAACGAAGGGAGTTTATTCTACAGTCAATTGGGGAGCCACTTAGGTTTGAAGTGGGAGCTGGGCCTTTCCTCCCAGCACCACCCAGAGCCTTGAATTTTGTCCTGCTTTTTCTGTGTCTACTGAAATGAATATATAATTTTCTTCCATTAGTCTGTTATTATTGTGAATAACATTCATTGGTTTTCGAATGTTAAATCAACCTTGCATTCCTGGGATAAATTCACTCAGTTCTGATGCCTTAGGTTTCTTATATATTATTGAATTCAATGTGCTGATATTTTGCCAAGAATTTTTGTATTTATGTTCATGAAGGATATTGGTCCATAGTTTTCCTTTAATAGCTTTGTCTGGTGAATGGTAGCAGGGTTATACTGGCAGTCTTTTGTCCATATAATACCATTCTGACTGCATAAAATCACTGGGGAAGTATTCCTTTTTCCTCTGTATTCTGAAAGAGTTATGTCAAATTCGTATTATTTCTTCCTTAAATGCTTGACAGAATTTGTCAGTAAAGCCATCTAGGCATGATGTTTTCATGTTCTTTTTTTAAAATTTCATTTCCAGGAAAAGTTTTAATTACGAATTCAATTTTCTTACTAGATATAAGGTCTTCTAAATTTTTTCTGGAGTCGCTTTTGATATTGGTGCTTTTCAAAAAATCTTTACATTTCATCAAAATTGTCAGGTTTAGTGCTAAAAAGTTGTTGATAACATTTCCTTAGTATCCTTTTACTGTCTCTAGTCTTAGTGATGTTCCCACTTTCATTCCTGTTAGTGCTAATTTGTATCTTCCTTTTTTCCTTGATCAATCTAATTAGAGGTTATCAATTCTATTGAACTTCTTTAAAAAGCTGAAAATAAACAGCCTTGGTTTTATTGATTTTTTTTCTGTTCAATTTCTTTGATTTCTGTTTTTTATTATTTTTTCTACTTATGCTGGGCATGATTTGCTTTTCTCCACTTTCTTAAGTTGGAAACTTAGAAACATTTTTTTCTAATTTAAAAATTTAAAGCTATGAATTTCCCTCCAAGCACTGCTTAAGCTGCACTCTATGTATTTTAGTGTATTATATTTTAGTTATCATTTAGTTCAAGATATTTTCTAATTTCCCTTGTGATTTCTTCTTTGAACTATGATTTCTTTAGGAGAATATTGTTTAATTTCCAAATATTCGGAAAGTTTTCAGGTATCTTTCTGTTACTGTTTTCTTATTTAATTATTTTGGGCTTGGCAAACATATCCTGATTTCAGTCTTTTAAAGTTTGAGGCTTGTTTATGGCCCAGCATATAGTCTGTCTTGGTGAATATCTCATATGCACTTGAAAATAATGTGTGACCTTGAGCAGGTCTCTTGCTTGCTCTAGACCTGCGGTTCCCCGTCTGGAAGTGTGGGGTGGGGGACAGTTGCGTTTTGTGGGTGAGAAGTATGCTGCAGGTGGGGAGGCTTTGAGATAGGGGTGGTTCTTGGTTCTGAAGGTGATGCACCTCATCTCTTGATCTTGCAGATGGTGTCCGAGGCAGAGCACCGTCCCCTGGGTGTGTTTGAGTGTGAGCTCTGTGCCTTGACAGCTCCGTATAGCTACGTGGGGCAGAAGCCCCCGAACACCCAGTCGGTGGTGTGAGTACATACTTTTTTGGGCCAGTGCCAGGGAAGCCCCTGCCCAGAGCTGGTTGGCAGGTGCCATGCCTGAGTCTGACACATGGCTTGGGTGTTGTGCTTTAGACCCATTCCTGCCCAGGCTCTGGATGCTTCAGGTGTGACTTGGGAGGCCCTGGGCAAGGCTTGAGTACCGTCTGACCCTTCCAGAATCCCCAAGGCCCTTCCTCCACTCCCAGCCCAGAGTTCAGCACCTGCTCTGGCTATGGGGTAGAGGCACCGTGGCCCAGGCTGAAGCAGCTCAGCAGCTGGAAACACAAGGGACCATGGTGGCCTCCCCATTTGGGCTGCACCCTGTTGTCATTCCTGCCGTGACACTTTCTTAGTGGGAAGCCCGTTCTTGGCAGCTCTTGCACTGGTGGGAGTGAGTCCTGAGGACCAGCTTCCCAGAGACTTGCCAGAGTGGGCCTGGACTAGAGCTGGACTGAGTCCTGGGGCTCATTTCTTGACCTCCAGCTTCTGGCTGCAGTTCCTCTGCTGACCAGGGACCTGGGTGTCATCATGTGATGCCGTGGTCTCATTCTGATGTGTAGCATGAGGCCAGCCTGCCTCCTGGGGCTGTGAGGATGGAAAAGGTGCCAGGTTCTCCCTACAAGGGAGTAAGCAGCTTGGGATAGAGGGGAGGGCTTGGGGTGCTCAGATGGAGGCCTTATGCCCCAGTGAGCTGAGAGCAGGTCCAATTTCAATTCCAGCATGGCCCCCACTTGCTGGGCCTGTCACTGCCTTTCAGCACGGGTGGA